GCATTAGATCTCAATCTATAACCTTCATTTGTTTCTCTTGGACCATAAATCCTCCTTAAATTTTTTCTCTTTATCTTCAGGAAATTTTCCATTCTAATTACTTGTAGCTTCCGTGCCATTCAAGACCACTGGTCTAATAAGTGTACTATAATGTCGTAATTTTGCATTGATAGACAATTTTTTGTGCAAAAATTTAATCGTTCCAATTTCCGTTTTGTGATCTCAATAGCCATTTTATCCGACCCATTTCTGCTAAATAATTCTCCAAGATATTTAAACTAATCACTAACATTGATGTTCCCATAATTGATTTTTACTGTCTTTTTAGTGTATTTATGATCACATGTCATAAATTCAGTTTTATTAAACGAAATAGCTTGTTCTCATTCAGCTAACAGTGCTAAATCATCAGCAAATTCTAAACATTTAATTTCTAGATTCTTGTTCTTTGTACCAATTTCCCCCCGAATCATTTTTCTCCCAAAATGCCCTGATGACTTTAGCTAAGACCGCATTAAAAAGAAGATAGTTGGTATAGGCTACAGATAGGATTTGATGATAGACAGTTCCCTTGTCTTAGCCCTGTGTTTTCTTGGGAAGTCTTACTGACTTCAGCTAGAAATTTAGCTTTGGCATTAGTTAATGTGTGTTTTATTAAATTTATAGTTTTTTGATCAACCTGGTATTCCTTTAATGTGTCAAAAACAGTTTCTCCATCCAGTGAATCATAAGCTTCTTGAAAATTGATGAAAGAAATAAAGATATTCTTCGGGCGTAGTGCTACAAAATTTTAATGCCAATTTCAGACTGAGAATATGTTCTGCACATGATTTATTTCTTCTGAAACCACTCTGGAACTCGTCAAGTTGTGATTCGATCTGTGGTTCTAGTCTCTTTAGAAGTAATTTGGAAAGTATTTTATATGTTAAAAACAACAGCGAGATACCTCTGTAATTATTGAGTTCTGTTTTTTGGGCTTTTTTTATGTAATGGACGGATTAAGGCGACAAGTCAATCTTCTGGAGTTGTTTCCTCACTCCAAATTTTTTGAAAGAGGTTAGTGTTTGCTATTTTATACTCTACATCTGGTGGCGTAGAGTCGGAATTCTGTGTTGAAAATTTTAAGCTTAACTTTTCCTGTCATTTTCTACAATTTAATAACTCTTCAAAATACACAGCTAGAATATCATAATTTTCCCTATTGTTCAATGCTGGTGTGCCATGTTCCCTTTTGAAGTTACAACTCGGTGCTTCATATTCAATGACTTCATTCTTAAAAGCTCTGTAAAATAGTCGTGTAATTTTTCTTAAAATTTTCTTCCATTTCCGTAATTTGGTCTTTCATATACTTCATAGCTAGTTTTCCGTGAAGTTTGGTGATCCATATTTCTTAACCGTTGTACTTCTAGAATTACTGGAGTCTTATTTCCATTCCATTTGTGTCAGGCGCAAAGTCTATCTTTGATCGCTTTTTCACAATATTCATTCCACCAAGCATGTTTCCTAAGAAAGTTCAACGGTGCAATTTCCTAAGCAGGTTCAATAAGATTATTAGTAACATCATTCTAATTGCTTGGTATTTTAAGTCTTTCTTGAAATTCTAACATTTTTTTCTATGAAAGAGCCTCTCTATTAATTAAGTTTTCGTGTAATTAGCGCAAAATATAGCCAAGTTTTAATTATTTTAACATTTTATTTCTAAAAACGGACCAATTTTTTCTTAAAATTTTCTCCTTGTATGAATCAAAGGAGGGTAAGAATATGGTACTAATCCCATTTTTGGCGAAATCGCCGTGTTTAAAAAAATTGCAAAACGTTAAGCGATTTTCTGACGCACGACTTTAAACCTTTCTCTTCGTAGGAAGTAAGTGCAAGGAAGTAAGGATGAGTGGTGTGCGCTGAAAAAATGTGTAAAAATGTTTTTTTCTATAATAAGGGCAACTCTATTGAATAGTCAGTGGAAAAATTCATATAACTGAATTGCACGTGTGATATTTTTATTGAATTATATATTTAAACAGTATGTGGTCAGGTTGAACGATTCTAATAATGTTCACGATAAAACGACGATTCACATGAGAAAGAAAACTACAATTACATTATGGCAAATAGAAATAAATAGAGAAGAAAACGGAAAGACAAAAGAAACGACGGTAGACGATCATGAAGAGAGAATAGTGTAAAATTGGTCCAAACGTTGTTCAAATGCTTAAATGCTGGGAACATTGGCGATAGGCGATTCCAATGATTAACAATTTTGTTCGGCAGGAAAAACTTGTATGGGTTGCCCAAAAAGTTGCTTCTATTCAATTTGTAATTGTGACCACGAAGATGGAAGTTGGTATTTGTATTTTTGTTGTGTATTTGCCTCCTGAATGTTATTCAACCTTATATGCACTGTTGTTCGGCAGGTACATGAAATTCCTTGACTGCGACAGAACGTGACATGCCGAACACCTAAAAATGAAGGGCAAATGGCACTTGTAAACTCCGTATGATGAATATTCCCACTAGAGTATGTTCATTGGAAAATGTCTCATTTTCGTTAAAAATTCTGATTTTTCGAAAATTGCAAAAAGTCAAAATTTTTCCGGCGTCTTCCTTCAACTTTTGAAGATAGATATTATTGTGTTCGTTTGTTTGTTTTTGCTTTAAATAAATATGTAGGAAACAATTGAAGGCTTCGGGACATCATTCTGCAACTGAATTTATTCCGTTTAAAATACATTTATCTTAAGATCTCAAACTGATTGTAAAGAAAAGTTTGCGAGACCAGTGTGTTTGTTTGCGAGGTGAGAGTTTGACGCTCCCACTGTTACTCAGAATGTTTACTACATAACAACGAAATCAGTATTTAATCTTAGCTAAATTTATCAAAGAATAAATAAAACAAATTGCGAATACTGAGTTATCCTGCAATTGATCTCTAGATCTCTGCTCTGAGCTCTGACTACTGCCGTAAATTCAGCTTTTCTCTTCATTTATATCTATCGTTTATTATTTTAATTAGTTAAAATTGCAATCATTCATATAAATGTATTTTTCATCAATAACAAGAATTTATTTCAATAATAAAAAGCGGAATGACTACAAGCCTCATGAAAATAGACTATTATTGTATAAATGACGTTTGTCTATTCAAAAAATATTGTCCGAATGAGTAGAATCGAACCCGGTATGCCCAGTTGCTCTAACCACTTTAGCTACTCGACAGTTAACTCCTCGAGTAACCTTTAAGAGCTAAGGGCTCCTGAGAGAGTTACACAACATGTTTTCACGTAGTCACGTTTGTAAGTTTTAACAATTATTTGGGAATATGTTTCCTTTCGAAATTGCCAACCATCGCGACCCCATGGCGACGGGGTCCGTTTACACCTGCAATAACACGGTGAAATGTAATGTGCATTAATAATAATAATAATAATAATAATAATAATAATAATAATAATAATAATAATAATAATAATACCAAAAAGGGAATTAGCTACGTCTGATTGGCGACAAATAATTTGTTAAAAAGTACACTATCAACTGATTCGTTTGAACACTTAAAATGGTTAAAAAATCATTAACTTAAGCATCAATAGAGTATTTCCCACTACTGACTGACATTGCCCCGTCCCGAAGTGGCAGTCTGGGTTTTTACGGAACATTTTACCACAAACTATCTGCACCCAAAGTTTTAAAGGTTTTCACATCAAAGTGATGACTATTTCATGTTTACTGCATTCATAGATAATGAATGCTGTAAACATGTAAAATAAGGTTTTGTTTCGCTGACGACAGACTTCCTTTATCTGAAAATAGAAATGCTGTTTATCATAACAAAAACCTTTTAAATGAGTAACCTTTTTTGATACTATCTCTAGAGCTTCAGGTCATCTCTGATTTCGCTCCATTGCGTCAATGCATGTAAAAACTGTAGATCAAAATGAAGGATCAAGATAAAGAAAATTACGCTGTGTTACTAGTACAACTCCGGCATCTGAAATTTTATAAACGTCGTTTCGCTTCTTGTGTAATTTATCAGTTCGGAGAAACTTATCCCAACAATGTTTGCAGTATAAAAGTTTTAAAATTCATAACACATTAAGTATCTCGTAGTACGACTTACCCTACAATATCCTTTACCAATTCTTGCTCTTTTGAAATTCGTGCGTCATTTCCGAGTAACATTTGTTATAATATCAATATGCAATTTTCGTTTGTTCTTATTTCTTAAATTGTGGCTAATCAATTACTTTGAAATTTCTATTATATCTAGGATAATTTGAGCCACGTGATTGCAACAATTTAGGTTTTCAATATTTGTATTTATATTTTTTTTTCAATATTTGTGGGCATTTTCACTAATTTCACACTCCACAATATGAAATTCCAAAAGTTGAATGGCGTGATATCAATTCGAGCCGGACATAACTCCACTAGTTTGCATTATCAATTCCCAACGAACACAAGCATCCACTTCCTTTTCCAACAGTCGAAATCCTTTCAATACCTAACCCTACTTCTATATTCATATCACGTTTTTAAACGCTAATAAAAATTAATCAAGTTAATAAACTTTAGAATTAATAAATTGTTAACATTTTGCTTTAATTTTTCTTAAAATTTTCGAGGTTACCTTTTAAAGGTTCTTCACTACTTCGGTGGTTTTCAGTATACTAGATGATACAGAAACGGTTCATCTAGAACAAACGATACAGAAACAAACTAGAATTTTCAGAGTGGTTAATTAACATTGTCATCGATATATCTCGATAAGTACTCATCAAGGGAAAAAGTTTTCTTTGATATAAAAAGTTAACCAATTGGTCTGTGCGAACCTCGGTCACTTTGTAAATCCTTGTTTTTAAAGTAAAAACAGCTGCATACTGGAACCCAACTTGAAACGACCTCTGCTCCTGAACTGAACGTCACAGCATTATGTGTGGTTTGCCATCGTAATAATTGAGATTAGTTTTCACAGATGTTCAAATAACCAATTTAATTTTACACAGATTTCAAGATTCTACACGTTTCTAACAACTCCTGCTCAAGAGTGGAGAGACAGACATGAGCTAAACCTCCAAATAAAATTACCAAAAATCTCTCAGTTTTTTAGATTAGAATCTATGAAACCGGATTTTAGAAAGCACTTTTTGAATTATACACGAACGTGGTGTAAAACGTAATTTACATAATTCTATATTTTTCGTTTCAAAATTTGATTGATGCACTCTTATTACTAATCCAGGAGAAGCACGTTTACGATATCTTTTATCGATGGGATGTAATAAATCGAATCCGACATCTTCCCTTCGCACATCATTTAGAAGAGGTAGTTCGGAAGTGGAAACGCGTGTAATAAACTAGCGACCCCACAGTCAGAAAGCAACTTTGGCAATACAAATGACAAAACCGTTGTATGTTACAGATTTGAATTTAGAAATAGGTACCCTGCATATAAAATATGTTTTTCAATGAGTGAGAAGCTGCACTGTAATAAATAAAAACTAAGAACCCACAGGCAACTTCGTCTGAAACGCCTACCGACTTAAATACTTATCTTTGCCCATTCTCAAAGCCAAACCAGTTCAACTTTCCAAATTCTATAAAAGTGACTCTTATTAACCTCCGTATAAAAGAGCCCTGTGTCTTTTGGAGGAACATATATGTCTTTCTCGATATAAAGACACTACAGTTCTTTTTTTTTTTCTTTCTTAAAGTCCAAAAATTTTATACAAAGCACAAACATTTCGATAAGATACTTGTTTCCATAACTTCTTCTTGTAAAATCCTCAAAATAATCAGTAAATTAAGAGATAAATATTTGGCCGGTTGAGATGAATTTCCGGATAGTTTAAGGCTACGAGCACACGTCATCGCCTAACGCACATTATAACATTCGTGTTTTCACGGGCGTCAGTACTCCGGCCACACTAGCAAATCACAAAGAACGTCGCGCATTGCGCTCGTGTGCCATTCCCATTCGTTTATGTAAACTGCAACGGACGTACTTCAACGTCCGTTGAAGTGCGTTCGTGTGCATTCGCCTTAAGACTTGTGTGCCTGGAGTGATAAACCATTCATTTATTTATTTACGTCGAAAACAGCTAAAATCTGTGGGTGTCATTCTATGGGAAGAAGTTAATTTGAAGTTACATTTATGTCTAATACGATATTAACTCACACATTCAATGCACCCTTATTTACCGGGATATTTCCTGATATTTTCAAAACAGCTAAGATTAAGGCGCTCCTCAACAAAGACAAATTAAATGAAATTGAAAATTATCCGCAGCCAATTTCTCCGTCAGTTTTTCCCAAAATGTCCATGAGACTTTTCTGCGAACAAATTGAATCTACTTGTATCTCAGTTAATAATAACCGTTTCCAGATTGCCGACATGATTTTGAAAACAACGATCTAGAGAGTTGAAATACCCTATTGAAATGAAGGGACGTTATTTACTGATCTTTCCGACTCCTTGCCAATTGCTCATGAGGTCTCGAAGGATATGATTTTAGGTCCTGTCATTTTCCTTCTGTACGTAAACTATATGCCCTAATCGAATCGAAACAGCAGAAAAGTTATCTTTACTGATGATACGAATATAATTGAGTATATATAATGGTCAAGATAGTGACTAGGAATGGCTTAGATCTTATTTTCTTTGAATTGCCGGTTTTTTGGAGAATTGCAAAACTTTAGGATTTTTACGGGGCTCCCTATAACTACAATATTGAAGTTAGATTTATTTCTTTAATAAAATATGTTCTTCAAAGAGATATTTTAAAATAAGGTCATGTACAATTGTTCGAAATTATGAGTATTGTTTGCGTAGTTTTGCGTGTAATATAAGCATTTTCAATACTCTGCTGAGCTCTTCAATATTTAACCATAAGTTGGGTTTCATGACATAATCTGGCATAAATTATTTTTATTTTTATTTATGGTGCTTCTTTTTCATTTATAATAACTCAGTAAATCTTTTTTTTAATGTATTCTACCCAATTTTGTAACTTACCTATGTAATAACAGAGTAATGTCTCATAGCCCTGAGTTTAATTATGTGATTACACATTAACTAATTCTATTAACCCATTAACTATTCCTAGAATTAATAGTGTGGTCGTAAATTCAAGAACAATTGGCACTTTGAAAGCGATTATTTCCTCAAAAACGGCTCTAAATATTGTGTTAATTTTTTCCCTCGGATTTATTTATTTGTTTTACGTCAACATCCGTTAAAATGGTACGTACTATACGGAGAAGTGTATACTGGACAGTTTTTTTTAATTCTAGGATGGCTTAGGCTTCCCTAAGCCAAAAATTAGTCGAATTCTGAATACAGAAAGAAATGAGCAAGTATTGTTAAGAAACTCTACGTCCTGGTGTAATAAAAACAATTTGTATTTATTAGGGCAAATCAGCTATCAGAGTTGAGCTCTTATGCCTCATCGTGTCCTTTGTGAAGAAATATATATATGTACTGTGGCGACAATATGGAGAACGATAATTTGTATAACTAGATTTCCCACTAAATACTATAGGACGACTCTGGCCAAAAAAATGAGTTCTTTCGTCCTTTTTCGTTCCTTCTTTTTCTTCTTCCGACTCTTCACTTTCCTCTCTCTCTCACTCTCTCTCTCTCTCTCTCTCTCTCTCTCTCTCTCTCTCTCTCTCTCTCTCTCTCTTTCTTTCTTTCTGTCTTCCCTTCTTTCCTTCCTTCCCTCTTCATGCAGCTTCACTGTGCGCACGTTTGGTTGAACTTTCTTTCTGTTAGTTGTAGTACGAATAGAACTAGGTGGTGTAAATAGAACTGAGTGGTGTGGGTTTCTACTGTTTTCTTTTCTATACTCTAAAAATCTAATCTCTAGTTCTTTTACGGAGAAAAAATAAGATTTCTATTACTTGGGAGAGAATAGTTTAGATTTCAAATCTTGCAAATCTCGCTTCCTTGGTACCTTTATTCATTATGCATTTATAGTAAAATGATTAAAGAGGGAAACTGGAGCTCAAGAAAACGTGCGCAGATTATGCTTCTTTTCGATGGTGGAAAAGAACATATTTACTTTTACACCGTTTTCTCCCCCGTACATCATATTCAGTTTTTACAGTTGTTTGATGAAAGTAAGTCAAATGCAATTCTTCCACCCTCACCCTCTCTCTCCTACACACACACACATACAAACAAATAAGCAAACAGACATTGTACGTTAAAAGAGAAAGGTGTAGTTTCCATTTTAGCTAACAATGTATCACATTCAAAAAGTGGCGGCAATGCATTCACTCTTAAGTTTCCCGGCAGATGGCAGGCTTGTGTGCAGCCCCTGTGAGTTGTACAATGTCGTCTGTAAGAGGCACATAAAAGCCTCGGGCGGCCGTGGGTGGGGAGTCAGTGCAATCTAGCAAGTGCAATGAATCCGGCCACGGACAGATAGAAACTACTCAATTCCCGTGATGAATTAAATGTGTTTCAACCTTCAGTTTTAATATCTTGTAGTGAAATTTACATCGACTTGCTTTTCTCAGCATGAGGATAACACCTTCTTTATTAAGGGTAAATTCGAAGAACGTAAACATGGAGGAGTTAATGACAAGAGATGTGTAGCCTGAATTCATCTCGTGTGAATCTCTTAGTGGCAGACATGAAGTGTCTTTGGTTGTATCTGTTCACGGGAATACTCGTGTGTGTTTTGCCTTTGACTTGTACTGAAGAGGTGACTCCAGTTGCAAAAGGTACCACCCATCAAATTTTTAATATTGACATCCTCGTATGAGGTTATTGGCTGTAGAGTCGGGCGTTTGTTTACAGTGTTTTGGGTGCATCATCTGTATAGCCCTCTTGGAAGCTGCTTGCATTCTGATGGGATGGTCCTAATCAATACTCCCGTCCCTGGTCCAGTCAACTCCATGTGTCTTATGTCACATCTCAATAAAGATCTGTGCGATTCTTGTTTTCCTACATTGATTGTAATAAACGTCAGTTGCGTTCCCTCCCTCCTCATGAGAAGCCCTAGATTATTAACATTATCGCATCCGTAATGCGTGTTTTTGTTTATTGTTTGCCGTGAGATAGAAAGATTGTATTTATGAGGGTTAAGAACTAAAAATGATGGTGTCACACAATAATAGTCAGTGTATAATATCAGTACTTTAACAATAAGTTAAAGAGTAATCCTTTGTCATGGCACTTATGAATATATTAAAGAGATTTGGATGCCGTTCTTATTTATTGTTTCCTCGTATGTTAATTTCTGTTTCCATCTGATTAATTTTAATACTAGTCAGCCCCTGCAGTTTTGCATCTGAAAATGTCATTTCACACCTTACATCCTCCACTGTGCTGCCATTTAAATACTGAGATAAGGTTGTAGGTAAATTTAATGGCTTCAAAATAAAGAAAGCATGCCTTTTGTTTGAAAGTTCTTATTATTGTATTACTGTGGAGTACGTAGGTTGTGCCTTTTGAACATAAATATAAGAATAAGTTGTAATATGTGAATAATAAGGTGTTATTTTCAGTAAATTATAATTACTGGGTATATTTTTTAAAGTGATCTTCTTTGACTTCATTTCTATTTAACAAGTACATTGTTGTCGTTTTTTTTTTGTTTTGCTTCAAAGTTCAAGTAATTAATAATAGTAAGTAAAAGTGGGTGTATGGAGTTTTTCGTGCAAGTATAAATTACGAGAAATATTATTTTGTGGTGTAGATGGACTTTGCAATCAATGAATTACAATCATTACAGAATGTAATTTTCTTTTTTAATTTTGTAGAATTTTGAGTTATTTTCACATTTTATTAAATAAGATATATTGAATATTTTGTACACCAGAATGAAAATTGAAATTATTAAATGATTTGTCATTACCAAGAAACTTAATTGTAAAATTCATTTTCTTCTTAGTTTCATTGCAATAATGATGCAGTAGTGATATTGTATTCATTTTGCATTCTTTTACGTTTCTCTTTCATCTTTGGTTTAGTTTTTTGTTGTTGACCTAACATAAATTACAATAAATATTACAAAATATACGTTACAATAAATATAATTAATATTGACACTTATTATACAATTAATGTCGCTTACAGAAATAACGTTACAACGTATATTATATTACATATTGATATAGTTGCTCTGGAAGTTTTTTATGCCCTGAGCAATTTTCATCTATCAGGATGACAACCAAACTCAAAAACCGTGACTGAGCTGAGTTTTGGAGGGGACATTCATGCAAATGTTACAGTGTACAATTTTACTTATAAATAAGTACAGAGCTACTAAAATGTTTTTAAAAATTACACCTTTGTTCTCTTATAATTCTCTGGAGTTCTGTGTGGGACTCTTCTCTTTTGTTTGATTTTGCTGCAAATATTTGATGGCATATTAATAATATCTTTAAAATGAAATCGATTTATTATAATTATATTCAGTATCAAACTGTTATTTAGAAAATCCATAAAATTTAATTAAATGTCTTATTTCATTTGTCTTACAGTTCCAAGTAAGCCACTAAATGTGACAGTTCTGAACGCTTCATCAACGACAATGAATTTATTATGGAAAGTACCTGACCATCCTAATGGTCAGATAATGGGATATCGGCTTTTCTTTGTCCACTCTAACATCACTGATGTGGAAACCATTCAAGCAAATAATGAACCAATTGTGGAACACACACTGAAAAGCCTGAGTAAGTAACAGAAATATTTATCACATATATACTGGTTAATAGATGCTAGAAAATATATATTATGTATTTATTTTTTTTATTTCAGAGCCATATACAGAGTACAAAATTTTTGTGAAAGCATTTACTAAGCATCATGAAGGAGATGTATCGGATGCGATTTTACACAAGACTGATATCATGGGACCAAGTGCTCCTCGCATAGTAAATCTGACTTGTCAATCAAATGACACTTTGTTATTACAGTGGCAACGCCCAGCAGAGTTCTATAACAGTATTGACTTTTATTTCATCACGTATCGAATTGAGAATACAGAGGAGATAGAAGAATTGAGTATTGAAACATCCAAGGAACACTTAGAAAGCACGGTGTGTGTCATGTAAATTTCTTTAATATAATGTGCATGTTGAGATCAAAGTTTCTTACTGCATGTTCAGTTATTTTAATGAATATTATATAGTTGTCATGCTTCTCAGTCTGTTGTCTAGTCATTTAGACGTTTTTGAAAATGGTTTTCGAATAGGATGCTTATTTAACATTCTTTGTTTTTTGTACTGTCATTATCCAGAATATAGCCGTAGAAATTATGAAATATGTTAATAAAAAAATTTGCATGATTAACAGTAAACTTTTTTTTCTCCCTATTGTGTTCTTGCTTTTTACCTGAGCTTTATTATTGCATTTATCCTATACTTCTTTTACACATTACATACATTTTTGTAAAACAGAATAATTGCTGAGTCTCCTCACATACATTTGAATGGGTCTGTAAGAGAGAGTCATAAGCCACAATTTTGATGTTTTCAATTTGGACTTACCCCAATCCTCTTCCCATTCAGTATTGTAGGTTTCCATTTTCTAGCCAGAAGGCAGGATAACCTGACCTATCATTGATTTGCATGTTTGCCAAATACTGAAAGAGCTGCTTCTCAAAACAAGAGCATGGCTTATGGTTATCTTCACCAAGCCCTTCATTTGTTAATCCCAGCAATTTCAAGGTATAAAAATGGTCCCATACATTACCAAGAGAGGAGGGTGTCTCCAGAGCTCTCTGCTTAAATATTGTTTCTTTTGAAGTATTAGACAATTTTTCAGGATTAATACATTGAATCGCCAATTCATATAAATTTTTACTCATTTAAACAAAACATGTTTATTTTCAAGCTCTTTAATTGAAAAACTTTTCACAGCAACATTCAATATTAATAAAACTTATTACATTTTTATGTCTAATAAGGCATATGTAGTTTAATATATTGCTAAGCCTTAAATATTACAAATGTTGACATAATCATGATCAATGATTGCCAATTTCCTTAAAAAATTGCAACCTATAAAAAATTTTAAAATCTTAAAGTGAGCCTCCCATTGGTAATGTTAGGGTTACAGATCAAACACAATAGAGAACACCAATTAAGATATATTATCTCCTCAGACACAGGTTTTCTACTTTTGTGACAACATTTCTGCTAACACTAGGCTTTGTGGAAACTACTCAAGGGTGTATACAGAAGCAGGATGAGAGGTACTTTGCTTCCCTTGAATCTGATTCATTTGTGTTATTTCAACCTTCAATTTAATACCATTGTACAGGCTTTTAATTAATTTCTGTATTTAGTTATTTCTAAATTATTTCTTCAAAACATTTTTATTGAAAATATATTGGTTTTGAAAATAAAAAAAATTGCATCTTTGAGAAAATGCTATTTTAATGGAATTATCCGACAAATTGTTTTACTGTCCATCAGATTTTAACCCAAATTTTATTGTATGCATATTCGATGGTCAAATTCAGAATTTGCATTATAAATTATGGAAGTAACAAGAAATGTGTAAAAATGTATTTTATTTTAAACTGTTTTGATTTCTTTATAGTAGACTTTCCTTCTGACTTACCTTAGTCTTGTCTTTCATTCTTTTCAAGTAGTATGAAAACATCAAGAGCCAAATAACCAGAGGTAAAATATATTTTCATTGAAATGTTTAACTGAATTTTCTGTTTTAGTTTCCATGAAGAAAGATTTGTAAGAGTGCCAGATTTTCTTTCTTTTATAAATGTCAGGTAGCCTCTATTACTGAAAAGAATTTAATTCTTCCTTCAACTATTATCAAATTTATTATTTCATGAATCGTTTGGTGTTGGTTATGTTTGCTTTAATTTGAATTGTTGCATTGAATTTCATGACTAATTGGCTGAATCCTGAGAGGTGGCCTGGGAAAGGAATTGTGAATGTATGTTGGACAGGAAGTGCATGTGTGATGGCTCATTAGCTTGTAATTGTCTTTCATATGAAGTATGTTGTAAAATTTCATCCCAGTTGAATGTGTGCAGGTAATACTTGTGTATATTTTGTTTCATATTCTTACATCAGGCTGGTAAGTCTGAGATCAAAAGTAGAAGAAACTTTTTTGTTGAGAAAAATAATCGAAAGTTTGTCAAATATAATTTATTCTTAACTTATATTTCTGCCCTTTTATTTGAGATTTTAGATACATTGGAAAAGTTAGTGTTTTGTGATACCACCACATGCAGAAGATGTGATATTTTTTCTTTGTTTTAATTTTTCCAAAATTCATTATTATTGTGAAGTTATACTTCCGAATAGAAAAAAATGGTAGTGGTGGGTCAAAACTATGGCCTTTAACTTTTATGAGTATTTTCACGGGAGTGGGAAAACATCTAAGTAATTCTTGTCCAATAAAATCCAACATATATTTATAGCTGTAATTGTTATTTGAGTTGATGGAGGCTGTAGATAATTTGTGATTTGTTCACATTTTCATAAGAAGGATGGATTTTTTCAATCTTGACTCACTAATTAATATTAATACAGTCGACTCCGGTTGTAGCGAATTAAGTCACTAGTCCAGTTTCACTTACATTACAAATAAGCGCAAGAAGATTTATAGTTAATTTTGAACCTTGGCCGTAGTGAACGTAGTAAATACAATATTTCTGAAATTAATCCCCTCCTGGGAAAAAATATATCGCCTCAGTGCCACAAATTCCAATAGGCGGCTTAGAAAAAAATATTGTCGACCAAGGGGGTCATAATCAAAGAACTCTCCTCTTAGGTGGAGGTAGCGGACCCGGGATTCCTTACTGATAACCTTGTGCCACTTAGTTTCACTGCAGAAACAAAGGCTCTGTCCTGCGTGGGCTACTGGCGGCGGCGACGCAAGACCACTTGCTTCACTTTCAAGCTTGATGTTACTTGAGATTCCGCTGGACAAACGCCTAGCGGTCCACGTAGGTGACAGGAAGCGCGCGACTGTCACAGCCGGGCGCGCCCCACCACGCCACGCGGAAAAGTGATGAGTTTTATTAGCCGCTACCGAAAGGATCTCGCATGTTATTATGGCTTCGGAGAGTGAGACTGTTCGAACAGTGCAAGAGGCAATGAAACGAGTCAAGACTGCATTACGATACTTCCGAGACAGTGGACAACGCAGAATCGAGTAGCCTGCGGAGAGAGCGTGAACTTTGGAGAAGGATCTACAGAAATTACTAATGAAGCTACTTACAAAGCTAACAATTAAGGTTTAAGGTCAAATAGACAATGTCATTAAGTCAAAAACGTTGTAATTTTCAGTTCGTGCTGTTAATATATTTTGCTGCATTTATATTACTAAAATCAATTACTGTGGAGAAATTCTATTCGATTTTGACATCATCGAATCCAGTGAATAAATGTTAGACCCCGGGGGTTCACTGTTACCGGGTCGACTGTACTAATGGTTCCCTGATGTACGTTTGTTTTTTGTTTACTGTTAGAAGTAATGCCTAAAACAACATATTTACCTGAATTTACGAGAATAACCTTCCAATTTAGAAGAGACCTGATTTTTTTTCCATTTTTAAATTATACTAGCGGAACCCGACATACGTTATGTCCTTCATCTCTCTCTTCTTCTTTCTCTCTCTGTCTCTCTCTCTCTCTCTCTCTCTCTCTCTCTCTCTCTCTCTCTCTCTCTCCCAGTCTCCGGCTCTCTGTCCCTTCGTGTCTCTCTCTGTATCTGCCTATGTCTCAGGCTTCTTGTCTGTCTTTCTCTGCATGTCTCTCTTACGCGCGCTGCTGTCCTGATCTTCTTGGCCTCACTCTGCTTCACACGGCAAAGCTCAGCAACAATGAAGCCCAGGTGGAGCGCAGTTTGAGTGGAAATTGAATTAACTCAGCGCAATTTTGTTCTGTAGCGCCATCTAGTGGAGTTACAGTAAAATTAACAGCACATAAACCTGGGTGAAAAACACGTAGATGTGCCAACTTTCATGGAGATCGGTCACACGGTGTCGGAGTTTACCGCTCTTGTAAACACCAACATCCATTTATATATACAGTCAAAATAAAATCGCTAGTGTCTTGACTAGAAAATTGCTTTGTCAAGTTTATATATTTTTTCCTGAGCTATCACTATTTTGTTGTTCTTTATTATCATTGCCTTCAACTTCGCACTTTTCCTTCTTTCTGGTCCTTGAATTTTTAGGCCCCTCTGAAAGTTTTGCGTGTTGAATTCAGGTTATTCGTCTTTCAACTGTAGCCATCTGTGAAACATAGATATACAGTAAAATCTGTCTAAACAGGAACCCGTACGAGCTGGAAACTTGCCTTAACCGGAAAATTTCTTCTGCCCGTAAAGTTAAATTGCATTTTACACATAATAAAACGGAACCTCTCCAACGCGGAAACGGAACGGTTTCTCATGTCTTGCAGGGAAAAAATCTTTATAAAACGGAATCCTTGAGAATTTAATGCTGTTGGCATGACCCGGGATGTTCTTTATTAAATGAATGCATCTGAAAGCTTGTTTTAAATCTCTATCCCTGTGACACGCGATTTATTCGTGGCAGCCGGACATCGAAGGAGGGGCGTCAGTTGTAGAATTCGACCTTGGGATTGCTTGTCAAATCGTAGGGGAATGTCCCGACTCTGGGCGTGGGAAGGTCTACGGGCATAGCTTCTATTCACGCTTCTCACTGCCCCACGTTGAAATGCATAACCTCTCGACCAGATACGCATTGAAATATACGAGTCGTCATTGCCTACAATATTATGAGGCATATTAATAATATTGTTGGCAATGGCGATTCATATCATTATTTCATTGTAAATGCCAACGAAAGCTCATCCAATACCAACAGATACGCATTGCTCAAGGCCATGCGAGAGTATCAGAAAGTAATAAAGTACGATTTATTTAATCGTGCACTTGACGTAAGTCAGCTGTTGCGGTTTCATCCAATCGGGAGCTTATGTGTTGTTACAGTGACGTCACTATGGGGACGTTCAAGCTCCCGATTGGATGTATCTGTGAACAGCTGATTCACGTCAAGTGCATGGTTGAATAAATCCTAGTACAGTATTGGATTGTGACACGTGCGTTGAAAGTCAGCAAGCGGTCCGAATACAGCCAGGAATGTATTTTTCAAATCAGAAGCTGTCAATAAAGTGTTTAATATTCATTTATTGGTGATTTCTTCCATAAATACGTTATATGTTAATGTATTTAGATAAAAAAGTAATGTAATTAACCACTTTCAGGGCTGTCAGTATCACAAGTATCATAAAATGGGCAACCTTCCATGACATGGAAATCTCCCTAAACCGGATTTTTTTGTGTCTCGGTCGATTCCGGCTTTGACAGATTTGACTGTAGTAGATTTTTTAGGTAATAGAAACATTACCTGTCGTGTTACCAGACTTAATTCCTGGCGCTCTTGTTCGTGGCTTTTGCTTCGTTAAAAAACGAAAATTCGCATCATTTAATGTTCGCGTGATCGAGTTGTGTGCTGCAACTCATACGGATTCGAAAACGCAGGCTTCCTCGGCTGGAGGCAATGGATACTGTATTTGGCTGTCTGGGAGACGCCGCGTCCTGGGCACGGTTTCTAATATTTTCGACCGTCATACTGCGCCTTTCCTTAAGGTGAAAAGCATTCGGCCAAGATGCGGCGTCTCTGGAACAGCCAAGTATCTTTCGTACATGTTCGTGCCTCCATTCCAACTGGTAGAGCGAGAAAGAGACAGAGAGGGATAAAGATTCCAACGTTGGAGAATTTTTTGCAAAATTGTAATCGTTCCTCCTCTGAGGTAGGATACAGAACTGACTCCATTGAATTTTTCATATCGATATCGTGCAATTCACGCTCGCTGGGCGTCGAACCGAGAAATCGTGAACAAAATCACATCAACGATGTTTATTCATTTTCAAGCTGCGTTTCACGTAAAAATATTAGTCTGAATCACCCGACATATTCGTGGCGGATGTCAATAATACGTCCGCGAATATAATCAGTCACTATAATATTCGGACAAAACCTTCTTTTCTCTTCTTAACCTAATTTCACGTGCATATTGACTTATATTACTCAAACTTCGTTAGTTATAAAACATGTATTCCTTAATTTCAAATGATGGTGTCGAGTAAATTTAAAGAATTCGTAAAAAGCGCGATATTCGGAAGGGAGGATGTAATACCACTTTCATATTCGGGCAATCTTGGGAGTTCCTCGAAATTGGAAACAATTTCCTTCTTTGCTACGAGCTGGTGAGGTGAAAATGGGTGGAGTCCCCAATCATGAAGCGAAATATCACGGTTTACGTTCAGAAATTGTTTGGATGCAGAAGTAGCATATCTAAGAAAGAAGGGCCGCAAAAGTGGAAACACTACGTTCAAGCACCGACAATTGGGTTCATCGTGCCAAGGGCCGTACGCAAAGAGAAATAGTAGAAATGTTAATTATTTGTTAGAGTACGGTTAATGACATAATACAGAGGTACAAGAAAGGAAACCATTTTGAGTCGTCCGGCGTCGCTAGCCGAATTCGTACTACACTCCGTGAAGTCGTGGAGGTTAAGCGAATTCGAGACTGCGGGTTCCTGACTGGATGACCATCTAGGAACACCGGGATCTAACGGCGCCGAGCCCCTGGCCGGAACTATGCCCGGAGTGAGAAATGTTCAATATAATGGGCGAATTGCTAAGAAAAAGCCTTTCATCAGCGAGGCAATTAGAAAGAAGAGGTTGCAATTCACAAAGCAATCATACGAAGAATGATGGAAAAGTGTCGTATTTGTTGATGAGTAAATTTGAGGTGTTCTGGTCAGATGATAGGCGAATGATGACAAAGCGAAATGAGTCGCTTAATAATAATAATCTCATTCCAACAGTAAAACGCGAGCGATGAGCGGAAGGCGAGCATGTGATGATCTTGCGAAGCTGCTTGTAGAGTGCGAGTCAAAGGTTCCATGAACAATATGCAGAATCCGAACATTCTCAAGAACAATTTGCACAGAAACGGCATTAGAAATTGTTTTAAATTTTATCACCCTAACTTTATCACACAACAACCCTAAACATAAGGCTCACATTGCAAGGGAATGGCTTCTCTACAATTGTCCCAAGGTAATAGATATGCCATCCCAATCTTAAATCCTAAAGATTTAGGATTTTGTAGCATTTGTTGAGAAAATTATTAAGGGAGGACTCTTGGAGATAAAAATATATTTCAATCCATTTTAGATTTTCCCAAAAAATCAAGAAATAGGGAAACTAATTTAATATTTCACCATTTATAAATACACCACTGTCAAATTAAATGTTTTCAAACACTCTGATTTTATTGATGTCGCCACCCTACTTAGAAAACAAACAAAAAGGAAACCATAAAATGCAATTTAGCAATTATATTGCAGAATCACGACCATTTTGCACTTTGTACATTATTTTGCATTTTATCGCAGATTGAAAACCAGAAATATACTGCTCCAATCATCAAATATACAGTTACTAATTTTTTTGGTATTTGGTAATAGTTCACATTTTTAGTAATACCTAAACTCTGCCACCTTTACTCATTGTCAACAGTAAACAATAATGATGAAGCAGTGTTGATAATAAATGTTGCAGTAATCTCAAAGAGGAAAGAAAATGACAACAATGATTACCATGTATTTTTGAAACTATACAGTAGTCCCTCCACAAGTTTTCAATTTCTCAAATCGATGATAACATACAAAGATACAATGCTGCACTAAGATACAGAAAATAATTTTTTATGGTATTGTGTCGAACTGGGCAGTATAATTTTTTCTGCCAGCATTCATTGTCATTGACTATTTCATAATGTATTTACTATGTTTGCAAGTGTTGTATAATCACTTCGACTTCTACAAGACTGGAGAAAGAAAAGCAGTTTTTAGTGCATGATCTAGGAAATTTTCATGTGACCAGATCAAGGCTACAAATGGGCCTCATCATTAATTGGATCATATAGGTTGTTTCCATGAATTCATTGTATTGTACAAGAAGTTCTCCCATTGAATTTTCCCTTTCCTTGTCTTGAACCTTCCCTTGCACTTGGTTGGAATGCTCTTGTACACCACTCAACTGTAACAGTCCATTTCCTCTCCAGAATATTAGTTCAGACAACTGCTTTTGAAGATGTAAAAACCATATTTTATGGACTATAAGACGCTATGGGCTATGAGTCACACATCAATTTTTTAAAAAATGAAATTTTTCAATTTATAGCCCACATCATATGAATACTTTTTATTTTTTTCCATTAAGAAACTAGTTACTTACAAAAATATTGTACTGTCACCAATAACACAAATCACTTTCAATTCAAGTGCACTGGCACCATAGACCACAACAGCGCATCTTAGGCTACACTTTTCTAGGTTTGTGTTGATGGGAGGGAGGCAGTGGGCCAACTTGTGAATCCCCATGACTCATGTTCATCATTGTGGTGCACTACTGCTGACAGTTGAATCCAATGTTGCCAGATGGAGATAGGTTTCTTGCAGGATCGAATATATGGCAATTTTTAAGACTGGCAGGAATTTTAAATCAAACACCAGACATTTTTATCATAAATTTGAGTATAAGAGGCACCTGAATTTTGGTGACAATTTATCAAAGAAAATAGTGTATTTTATAGACCATAAAATACAGTAGTTATTGTTCTCTAACTGAAACCCCCAAGTAATGTTGGTTAATGTTAATTCAAAAAGGAAGAGCTTGGAAGATGGTGATATATGCATAGGTAGATCAGAAACAATGCTACACTAATTCATATTTCAGAGAAATTAAATAATCGATATTAATACCTCTCAAAACTTGTTTAGTGACCGTATACTTGTTCATTATAAGTTATAGAAGAATTTTAGATACAGGTTTTGTTGTTATTTATTTTATGTCAAGTTATTGATTTTTCCATTTTTTGGCAGCTAAATTCCTCTGCCTTATTATGGGTCTTTGATTGGAATCTTCAAAGTGTATGTGGTGTTTTTAAAAATTTGAAAATTATTTTATATTTACCAACATAATTGATTTTAAATTATTTCTACCACTAGTTTCAATGAATTTTGCAGAAATTTGTGTTTAATCCAAGGGTTTTTGTCGCTACAAAACCCATGGATTTCTAATGTATTGAATTAATAAATCAAGTTGGTATTATACAGACCAATACTCAACAAAAGCCAGTATTCTGAAGGACAACCTTTTGAATTTTTACAAACGATTGTTCCAACAATTTTGGAATAATACAAATTAAATGACTTTTTCAGACCAGATTATAATAAAATTTTAATCTTGTGTTATTATTCTGTTGTATAACAACAGTTTCTTATTAGTTAGCTACTGAATAGTGTCGAATCTTCATTCTATTGTTATATAACATTTCTGATATTGAGAGGACATTTCTGTTTTACTTTATTCAAATAAATAATATACTTCTTATGCCAATTGAGCTACCTTTTATTTTGATTTTTTGTTTATGTGAGATAAGTTTTATTCAAGAATATTTTGTAAGCATTATTACATTTTGAAGTCTAAATGAAAGATTCACTTCTTTTTTTAAATTGTTATTATTATGTATTGATTCATGTACGCCAGTTGAAGTTTTACAAATAAGTAACTATTTGTATATTAAATTAGAAAGCTTTAACTAATTTATAGTAATCATTATTGATGCATCCAACAAAGTATTTTTGATCTTGATCTGGGGATCTAATGAATTTTGAGTTTTTAGTGTGGAGTCAGAAGAATTTTATATTGAGATTGTTGATCATACATTAATAGTGCATATTTGGGTTTTTTAAATAATGATTTCGAAATTAATCACATGCATTTATTATAAAATAATGTTATTACAATAATTATTTTTATATAATAAATATATTAGATGATTATTATTATTATTATTATTATTATTATTATTATTATTATTATTATTATTGCTGCTGCAGCTGCGATAAAATTATTTTCAGTGTTACAATGTCAGTGATTTTGAATTTTTTATTTTTAGATAAAAATTACCAATCTCACTAAGAATGCCATGTATGAAATTATGATACGAGCTGCTTCACGCAGTATCTTCAATAAAAAAGTTGTTATCCAAGGAGAGGATTCTCCTCTGCGAAAAGTGCAAGTTCGCCCCGACTGTGACAAAATACAGACACTCAATCAAAGCAGTAGTCGTGAATTAAGTGCTGGAATGATAGCAGGAGTTGTTTGTGCTGTTTCATCCTTGCTATTAGCCATTTCAGTTTTTATTTTATGGAGGTAAGTAACAGTTGCTTTCTTGAGTTTATAAACAGGTATATAACCATTTATTAAAAGTGTATTTTAAAACAGGAGCTTTATATAAATAATATTAGTGTTGGCATATTCATTGCTTTGTGCTAAATTGAGAATTTAATAATAATTATGCTTTGAAAATTTTTGTTTCATTTCCATTGTAAAATTGTACTAATGGGGAATATTACAACTCAACTGCGTGTTATAATCATAATTATGCCCACGAACATAGATCAATTAATATGTTAACTATGTTGGCAATTCTGGTAAATAGTTTTCCTAATTTTTTATTGAGTTTCTGAAGTTTATTGAGGCACTTCCTTCATTTGATTGCATGTAAGTATATTATCTGAAAATCCTACCTTAAACGGAATGTATATGCTATATCAGATGGGTGAATTCAATACAGCGCCATTTACCTATAAAATGTTAAAATAATTTTAATACATTTGCTTGCCCATTGATTTAGTCACAAATGTGTAACACACTACCCAATTCAAAGTAATTATTACAGGAAGTACCATTCCCAAACAAAGATAACTTTTGTGGTTAATCTTGTGATAAGAAATTGATAATGCCTGTTATCTTCTGTTCATGATGTAGGTAGACCATTTAAAAATTTATCATACAATACAATTGATGATATTGCAGCTGTGTTGTATATGATTCTGTTATAAACATATGTTAGAATTTAATAGGAGTAATTGCTACATTTTTTTATTATGTAATAAAAATATTTAAGTATTGTTGAACAATGAAATGTGGAAAACTCTCAGGTCAAGTTTGTGGGTTATGTTGGTGATATGCATTCCATATTCCAGAACATATGTTTTCGTGTTGTATTAGTTTTATACTTTTAAAATCAGTACTTAGAAAATACATTTAATTACTGTGTAAATATTATAATGCACAGTGTTCCTTGCAAATAATGTATGTGTAACTTTAGATGTTCACTGTAAAAATTATGAAAGTCCATTGTTATTGTGTGAGTTTCAAGCAGGGATTTTGTTGTACAATGATAAATTTCTGTAACAATTTCTTAAATTAACTAGGCATTTCTTGCATAAGTTATCTTATAGATTCTTATTACAGTAATCTTGCTTTATGATGTGATTTTCTGTTTTGCTTGTAGAAAATGTTTTCATGCTGCCTATTATTACTTGGATGACCCACCTCGAGCTCCACCACCAACACTGCTAGATTGGGACGGAGACATGAAAACAGCAATTCCTGTGCATCTCTTCCCGAAGCATGTTAGCGAGTTACATGCTGACGGGGACATCGGTTTCAGCAAAGAATATGAAGCTATCCAAGCTGCATCCACCCAAGAAGAATATACTTCAGAACATTCCCAGCATCCAGACAATAAGACGAAGAACAGATATCTGAACATTTTGGCCTGTGAGTATTTATAGAACTTTGTATGATGTTTGAAATGTCTCTCATTAAATTATTCAACAGGATTTTCAAATACAAGTATTCTTAAAACTATTTGTAAATTTGACTTCACTGTAAAGTATGTGAAGGGTTAGCAAGACAATGAATTTTCTTAGTCAAGTAGACATGTTGGGAAGTTTCCACTTGTTTTTCTTCAACATACTATTGAGCACTTATGCATTTGTGAAAATCTTCCTAAATCTCAAGACAAAAATTCTTTCTTTTCTTCTGTTTACATCTGATTTTCTTGCTTGTGGTGCAAGACCCTCTCGAGTTTCTACAGTGAAACTGCAAAAATATGTTTCTTAATGAAACTGGAGAGGGAAAAAAGATTCAGTGCGAATTGGCATTGAAATGTTAAATTTCCATGACCATTGATATTGCGACAAATTTGTAGCTAAATTAACTACTTTGATTAAATGTGTGTATATTATGATCTCAATGAATTCTTAATATTGAAAATATTAATTCTGAGTTTTCAAAAACAGATGATCATAGCCGAGTGCAGCTTCTGCCAGTACCTGGACAGAAGAAGTCAGTGGATTACGTCAATGCAAATTACATAGATGGATTCCAGAGGTCACGAGCTTACATTGGCACACAAGGCCCACTGCCAGCTACTTTTGACTGCTTTTGGCGAATGGTTTGGGAGCAGCGGGTGGCAATAATTGTCATGATTACAAATCTTGTGGAACGTGGACGGGTGAGTATGTAGTGAGTTACAGGTTGACTTTCTGTACGAAATAGTCCCTGTTGCTTGTGTTCTAATGTGTGAGAATTGTTGTGAATTTGGCTCTTAATTATAAATTAAAATGAAAATACTAGGTGTATCGTTATTTTTGTTAACGCAATATTTGGAAATGTATTATCAGTCTTCTGCATCATGGTGGCTAGAGTTGTATTTGTCTTCCACATCTATGTCCTTGTCTCATCTTTGTCCCCGTCATTAATGGAATCCTGAAGTCTTATTGGAAATCTTGTGTAACATTACACTCAATCACATAACACTACATTTATATGTTGAATTAAATATTACAGGACCTGGTAGATAGTGCATTCACAACAAATTCTTCTCCTATTGTCCAATAATTGGAATTCTCATAGTGTTTGGAAAATATAATGTGAAATGGTTTCCTGCTTTTAAATGCTAAAAACAGTGATTAATATTCTGAAATTACAGGAAGTAATCATAATTAGGGCAAGTACTATTCTTTAATAAAAGTTCATGAGTACGAAAAGTATGTTTGTGTTTTCAATGATGATCAAATCATTTTAAAAAGATAAAAAAAAAACTATTTTTTCAAAATGTTTGGTTGAGAAAGCAAATGAATCATTTCAAAAGGATTATTTAAGAAAATTTTGTTCAGAATATAACAAATCTCAAAAGAAAATAATTTAAGAAACACATTGTAGCAGTGACATATACTGAAATATAATGCTGAGTAATTAAATGAACTTGCGATTTCCCAAAAATATAGGTTTCGCATAGTTAATGCCTCATCACACCGATTTCCCTAACACATATCCTAAACCAAATGCTGACATCACATGGTCCAGAATCATCAGCAAGAAAAATCTTGGTTTTGTAATAACAAATTAATATTAAATGAAGGGAAAATTTCAATGCAGTTCTCAATTTAAATAAACAACTGTAAACTTTGTTGAAAATGAACTTTGTTGAACATGTGGTTTTCTCATTTCCCTCAAATGTCAAATTGAACATCCATTTAAATTTACACAAAAAAATTTACACAAAATTAAGTGGGTTATGAAGTGCATTCAGAATTCTTTGACAATCAGCCTTCATACTGCTGATTGTTGTTATTTGGCTAATGAGCATTCCCAGCTGAGGTACGGCATAATATTCTGGGAAAACACTTCCTAGCTCCTGGACTTTTCGATGACATAAAAGAATTGTATAAATATTAAACAAATCCCATCCACATGATTCTTGTAAGTCTCCCCTTATTTAGTTTTATTAAACTTCTAGCATTGCATTGCCTCTTTATTTGTGAATCTGTGGTTTAGTGAAAAATGACATTATCAAGCATGAGTATGTTTTCAGTCAATTCAGATGTCTTAAAACTCAAGGTAGTAATCATATTCATCAGGTGTTACTGTCAACAGCTCACTACAAAAATTCACATTCAATACATGTACATTTTATTTTACATCATGCCCGATGGCATGATGTGAAACTTGTATCAATTTTAGATTTAAATATCTAAAATTGATACAAGTGTAAGTGGCAAGTGAAATCATTTCTGTTGCATAACTGTTTCTATACAGTTAGAAGCTATACTGAGCATCAAAAAGGAAAGTAATGTTTATTTTAACAATGTTATAAAATATGTAGTTCATGAGTTAGGAAAGGGATCCCAGAGCTCGAGAAAGCATGCACAGATTGCACTTCTCCCCATAGTACATCACATAGAGTTTAAAACTTTTTTGATGATAAAAAAAGGAATAAAATCATCCCTCACATGATTCTAGTACTAGAGTTAAGGTATGCACCACTCTCATTGCATATTTGGAGTTTCTGCTCCATGGTTGTACATCTCCTATGGAAGGTTACCTGGTTAGGGAAACCCCCGCTTGCCAGCAGGTAGCTGAGCATCAGATCTCACCACTCAGCTGACGAAGATCGCCGCCACCTCTCAAGGAAAACATGCACTACACTTACGGGACGAATGGCCTTGGCAATTGGCACATCCAGAATCACTAATTTAACAATCAATAGTACTACTTCTGAGACTAGGTAAAGTTCTTATTCCAAGAACTTGGGGCTCTTCAGCCCGCTGGGAGCCACAAAGCATTACTTCATCAGAGCAGATCATCTCTGAAAAATGATCTAACCGGTGGAGGTAGTTCAGGACATCAACTGATGTAAGCGGCAGGATTTTCAACAAATATGATAGCTAGGTTGATTTCAGTCGCTGTCTGAAGGAGAATTTTAGTGGCCATCTGCTCAAGTGGGTTGATTTCCAGGGTTCCTCCAATCAACACCAAGCTAATGCCAGAGCAGTACCATAACAAGTGAACCATGCATGCTCTTTCCTTCCTTGTCCTTGCCCTACCTTTACCTCTTACACACATGCAGCCATTACACTACTACATATCTCCTCCAGAGACCAGTTGGGAGTTTAGAGATTGTCCCAGCTGGGGGCGGTGCCCCGTTAGTGGGAGATAACAGGCATGGGAAAAAATCCACAAGCCGACAAGTAGGTCAGCGCCAGATTTCACAGTCTAGGGGGGGAAGAACACTGCCACCTTCATGGTAAAACATGCAATGCACTTATGAAAATAATGACCTCAGCAGTTGACGCACCCGGAAACACAAAAATTAATCAATAATGAAAAATTATCTTAATTCTCTTTGATTTGTGTTTATTTATCTTTGTTTTCAAGTTAACCAAGAACATTTTTTCTCCTTTCTTTTGAAAAACATTATTTCCTAATAAAATTCACTTATGATAGCTTTAACGCCCAGCGTCCTCATTTGAGGACGGATAATATCTTAGTAACAGTGAACAATATATCGAACAGTATTGCTAAAATTAGGTATCTTTGACTGTTTTCATTACGATTTAATGAAAAAATAGTTGAAAAGTTTACCAAAAATTAATTTGGGCATTAATGGATTAAGCTAAACAAGCTGGCATCAAGTGGTGATGTGTGGTATGAGGCAAGGTCCACATCCCAACTGCTAAAACATCTAATGCTCCTGCTATTTCAAATAACATCCAATGTACTTGATGGCATGTAGTTTGTCATTTGTGTTACCCGAGACTAATCCACCTTGTTTGTAGATCTAGCAACCAAATATTCGATGGTCAGCACACACACTCTTCTGCAATTACCATAATGATTACACATGATGGAACTGCCTGTCTTGTAAGTGATCCACAGTGCTCATTTGTGGTACAACATGTGGTGCATCAGTTTCATCTTGGTCCCCTTTTCCTGCTTTCTATTGGTAGGAACACCTGATGGTGTAGGTTCCAAAGATGGTGAGATTTCCCTTGGGATGAGCCATGCATTAAAGTATGACATGGTACATTTGTGAGAAACACACGTGCACTCTGTATTGAGATTTGTCCAAACCTAAGACATTGTTGCTTGGGAAATAGAGCCACAAGATTTGTGTCAACTTGCTGTCTTGTTTAGCAATTCTAAACAGTCGGGAAGGATTTCTATACTTACTTTTAGCCACAATGATGTACACTTTCACTTTTGATCTCAATATACAACTGCATCAAACATCAACAATTGTTCTCTTTGTTGGCTTGCTTCATGTGTATGTCTTTGTGTGTGTTTGTTTGTATGTGTTGAACTTAATAAATTAATATAGTAATGATCTTTTTAACATTTATTTAGGTTTTTGCTTCCGGTAGGATCTACAGGATATGATTACTTAGTTATATGTTTTTATATATTTGTTCAAGCTGGATCTACATGTGCCTGAAGAAATTTTTAAACAAATATTGCCTGAGAAGAATATAATTTCTGCTATAAACAATGTGTGTCAAAAGCGATATAATAGTGTCTATAAACCTTGGTTTGCAAATGAGCCATTTCCAAGAGTTTGTAAATTTTTATTCACACATTTTGTATTACATGATTTGTACGTGCAATGCAGGGTAACAGCAACAAGCCATAGCAGTTGTCCATGAAAGGAAAATGTTAATTTCTATTAGGAATTCTGAAACAAAGTGGCAGTAATATAGGACATTTACTGAAATGTGTTACTTTACAAAGGAACTAGTTCGCAATTCCATGTAATTCGTTTGAACAATTTTCTGCTAACAGTGTGAAACTGTGTAAGATGAGGAAAAAACAAAATAAGCGTAGAAACTAAGTAATTATGGTTATCTTTCAGAAGTGTATTTAAAACTTCAAAAAATCTGTTGTAAAAAGAAAAAAAGGTTTATTTGTAGACCCAGATTTAAAGAGGTATTTTATTTACTATGTAGTGTAGACATGCAACTTTAAATGTATTCCCACTACTTTTAAACCACTTTGTTTAATGTATTGTCTTACAGAAAGTTACAAAAAATATGAAAGTTTTCATTTCTTGCTATTTCTGTTGAGAAATTTCTTCCCAATAAAATTAGAGAATATTTGTTCACAATATGCAAGAATTAATTGTCTTTCAAAATAGAGTATTGTATGGTCATAAATGATTATTAATTCTTGCATGCACCTGTTTCAGAAGAAAACTTCAAATTACAGGACTCTGTGTGTGTAAATATGTACACACACACATACACACACATATATATATACACTATAACTTGAATGTATTTTTGTTTCTGTGTTAAAAAAATGATGAGTGTATAAGTAATACATTGTTATTTAAATTGAAAATTCCTAACTTTTATGTATTGTAACTTGTAGTGCGAGATGGTTGTCTTGTGTTACTTTCTTACGAACTAACTTGATATCTGAAATTGAATGCACGACTTTCCAGGTTATTCTGAACTTTCGATTCCATCTCGTCTATTCTTGAATAATTTTCACTGTTATAATAACTATGTTTGGAGCCTCATTAAAATCAGTAAACTGAATTATTTTGTAGAGACTTTTTATAAAAGTAATAAGTGCCTTGTTTAATGCGACATATTGCCCTCCAAAAAACATACATATTTTTATTGATGAGTAATCAGCCTTTCGTAGTGAAATTCCTACAAAAGTAGCTTATTTTTTATGTATTGTGCATATTTATATAGAATGAAAATACTAGTTTTAACAGTTTGTCTTTTCTGGAAAAATACACAGTTGATATGTCAATTCTTATTTTTAGAATTTTCTGAAGTTGTTAACTAGTGCTTGTATGTATTTTTATAATTTGTTGTCCAAGTCCTCACTTAGTTCCTGATCTCCAAGATCCCTTGTTATGTCACATAATAGCAATTCATTATCTAATATAATATATCTAAACTGCTTGCTATTTAGCAAATTTTCTTGTGCTTTGTTTTAGCAAATTGTTTTGCTTGTGACATAATGAGGGATGTTTGTGGAACTTCAAATAATTTTTAACTGTACGCAATGTAGTATGATCATGAAATTTATGCTTCTGATCACTGCAGTGGATGTACAGTTGTGATTAGAATTAACGGGATAAACATCTATGAAGTCCTTTTGTCACTGATAGGTTGTATTCTCTTTCTTTTCCCACTCATGCTGTCCGCTAGGAAACTCTTAAAAGACAGCCTAAGCTTGCATCCCAATGTCTGGAGGTACTGTACTTTGTTTGAGCACTTTGTGTGTGACTTGAACCTCCTCACCCTATGTTTCCCCTGCCAATTGGTCCCTGTGTTGATTGCTTGTAGTGAGCCTGTAGATCATTTCAGTTTCCCCAAGCTTTTTCCCTCTTGTGTCTATCTATCAAATGCTAGTGAAGTGCAAGTAACCACTCATTGGGGATTTGGAAATTGGGCATTACTGTTACTAGTTAATATAACATATTGGAGTCGAGATGTGTGGCATGATATGATATTTGTAATATTAAAAATGCAATCTGAACCACATACAGGATCTAAATGATTTCCTTGAGCAGTGTGTGAAACGAGGAAGGCTGGTTTGAATGCCTGGAAAGTTGGAGTATTCATATTGCAAGATATCTGCAAGTATGCTTGCTTGCTTGAGTGTTTGATTTGGGTGAATGATGTTTGATTGGTTAATTTTCACTGAAAAGTTCAAATTCCCTAAACGTTTTTCTGTTTAACACAATACCATGCTGGTAGCACATGTTCTGCATTTTTCTTCTTGTAAGTAATGAATTGTTGAGTAACATTGTATATTCAGTACTTATTTGTTGTATTTTACTTCTGCTGCTGCTAATTATGGTTTTAATATCAGAGAAATTAATTTAATTCCAATTGTTTGCTACTTAACAAAACCAGTTGTCCATTATAAAGGCACAATTGTAAAAGCTCTTGAGACTTCATTGGAAAAGTGACTTAATATTCCCCAAATTCAATGACAAACATAAATATTATTATTTTCATAGTTTGATTAACGGCGTATGATATAAATTCAGTGTATTATTTTTATTAATATAAAGTACCTGATCAATGTTTTGAAACAATATCTGTAATTGATATTATACCAAGCAATGTTAAAATATTTGGAAACTTGACTTGAATTTAAGAGTTTTTTGAATAATATTTGGGAATTCAGAAATCGCTCCAACTTTTCATACTTCAATAAGTTATTGGTTTCATATGTTTTTATATTAAAGCAGCAAATCTGAGTCCCAGACAGTACACTGGTTGAAAGATGTTCATGTGCCATGAGAAAGTGAACTCCTCTTGCAAGTAGTTTGTGAGACGGATGTGACGACTTTTAATGTCATATCACATTAATCATTAATTCACTTTTGTTTTTGTTATTTTGTTGCAAATCATTGTTCTGAATCATAATTCAAAAATTTACAAAAATATCACTATAAACATAATCAAAATATTGTTACTTCTTGATCCATGACAATATTTTGACAGAAAAACTCGTATTGTCGGACCCTGGTAACAAAAAAGTTAATAAATCTTGTTCCTAAATTAAGTAAATTATTCCCTCTAATCCATGGTTTGTGAACCTTGATACCAAAAAATCTATTAACCTGAAAAAGTCTATCTGTTCGTCTGTGTCTGTCAAAGCATAACCAACTGAGGAAGTTGGAGGGTACTATTTGGCAACAACACTCTGTGCTGAAATAAGGGGTCCTTTGTTTATGTATGGATCAAGTGGCTAGGTCTACCATTTCAAGACTTTTTTTTTATTTTCAGATATAAAACATGTAATCATTTGGCACAAGTTTGCTTTTTTTGCATTGCCTCGTCTACACTTGCTGCAAACTTACTTTCTGATTAGTTCTGACCAGAAACAAATCTTCATTCTTCTTGCAAGCCAGTTCAGTCATAAGAGCCTATAGTAATACTCCTATTTTATGTGCTATTTCTGATGATGCAGCTGACTTTACTCAAAATGTCAACCCGTTCATCATGTCTCTCTGACACAATCTGCGGTTTACTCACTAAACAATGAAATACCTTTTCTGTGATAATATACGGCAATTAGCTATCAAACCTCTTTAAAGAAAATTAAGTCAGTAAATTTAAACACCAATGTGAAACCACCAATGTCTGCAATACTATTGAAATGATACTTGAACAAAACTAATTCCTTAAAAACATTGACACTAATTCAATAATTGCAACTTGTGTTACCTTCAGTGATAAATATGAAAGTAATCACAGTACCCCAAATTCCTCACTGTATGCTAACTTGCTTCCCCTTCGCACCTCCAATAGGCCCCTAGCACAATGTTGTCATTTGGGCATATTCTGACCTGAAGCAGAATTGGCAATGGATCACCGCTACCACCTAAATCGTTCAGATTTTCTCAAAAATTGATATTCCTCCATCAATCTAAATGAACCCGAGGCCCTGCGAGCTTGAAATGGATATTTTGATTTTGGGGAATACTTTACATGAAGCGTCAGTGTATTCAAAATTCTCAGTTCTCCTAATTATTTGATTAAATTTTATCCTTAGATAGCATAAAGAATTTTCACAAAAATTTTGCAGGTTTCATTTTCAAAAATTGGAAAGGTACAATTTTTTTTACTGTAATATTGCAGACAGATTATTTATTTAATAAAATGTGTTCTTAAGTGGCAAATCTTAAAATTCTGTCATGTACATTTTTTTTGAAAATATGAAATGTTTTTCAATGTTTGCAGATTTTCCAATTTTTAAACAGTTATTTTCTCAAAACGGCTCAAACGTTTTTCTTTATATATTTTCTCTCTCATGATGCAAAGGGCAAGAAAAAATTTTAAAAAATAATTAAAGAAAGAAAGAAAGAAAGAAAGAAAGAAAAACGTGCTGATCTCATTTTTAGCAAATTCTCCCTATCTTCGGAAATTACTAAAAAGGCACATTGCAAAAGCACAATATTGATTACAGAGGTTTTTCTTAAATAAAATATATCCAAAAAAAAAAAAATTATCTTTAAAAGAGGTCGCTACTTATTGGAGGGGAGACAAGTGGATTTTTCCTAATTTCTGCATTAAGATAGTGCAAAGAAAAATCTTAAAATTTTTTCTATAGAGCAGAGGACTTTGAAAAGAAGGTAGAGATATCATTTTGTTGAACTCTGTGGATTTTCAAAAATTTAAAACATTAGAAACTAATGTGAGAAAGTGCTGTTGTAACCCCTATTTTGGAAATACCTCAAAAGAATTTATTAATTATTAATGTTCTATTCTGTACCAAAATGTGTACAAAGATTGATAATCCACATAAAATATTAGAAATGTATCATCTTAGATAGTTCTATTGTTGTAAGAAAATTAATACTGTTGTCTTAATTTGTTGGAAAATTTCTAATATCATTTTATTGCACAACAATTTTGCCCAGAATCATTGAATTTTAATGCACTACAGTAATGCGTAGTAAACTAATAATTCTATTAATATTATGACAATTAATAGAGTATTTAAAAAATGCATTTCCCTTGTAATTAGGATATCATGTTAGGTAATTTTAGATCATGCTGTAGAATTAGAACATGTATTTAAAGTGAGTTTCTTAAAAGCCTGAGCTATATTCTACTGAAAGTAAAATTTTTAAGTTTGATTTCGTGTATCTGACATGCAGTATGAATCTCGTATAATATTAGTATATTATTATTACCTTGTTATTGTAAAGCAATTTCCTGCAAGAATTAACATCATTGCTGATATTTCTAATGCCAAATAAGGAGCACATTTATAGATAAATATACTAAAGATTTCATATACTCGAACCATTTTCGCAAAGTACTGATTACTCTCCAATTTAATTAACCAATATTAATAAATATAAAGTACAGTAGTGTGATACTAATTCATTATTCCATACTGCACTTGAGTATTGCTATTTCGTACTCTAGTCAAACATTTATAGATGTTTGTGTATTTTGTATATATGCCTATTGAATAAATTATTTAATTTGTCCAAAAGTTTCTCAAGGATTTCTTATCAATTTTGAATTATTTCATATTATGATCATTTCATTTTTTAAATTGCCAAAATGATTCTTACATAAATTTCTTAATTGTATTTTATTAACATCTTCAATTTTATTTTAATTAGATTGGTTATTTTCTAATTTCAATCATGGTGGTGTTCAGCAGAAACTGTTTAGCTTTAATATTGTGTGTGGTTCAGGTTGCAATCTAAGATATTAAATAGAAACAACTTTTTAACATTCATTTTGGCATTTTTCAGAGAAAGTGTGATCAGTATTGGCCAAAGGAGGGCACAGAAACCTATGGTGTAATCCAGGTGCGTCTTGTGGAAGAGAATGTTCTGGCAACATACACTGTGCGAACTCTGCAAATTCGCCATTTACGAGTAAGTTCTATAAATTGTGTTATATGTTGTTGTTTGTTTGTTTTGTTTTTGTCTGGGTATGCTTAATAATGTCCTTTATTTTAATTGCCGTGATATTAGTTTCTAAATAGCACTTATTTGAGGGAACTTAATATTTCTGTTGAATAAAATTAGTTGAGTAAAATATATATTTGCCTTATTGAAAGTATCATTTTAAATACTTTTGTCCTTTTTGTTTTGACTGATGACAATATTCTGTGTAAGCCATTTGATTTTGGAATCTTGTAGTCTAATCATCTACTCGTATCTGAAGGGAAGTGGAGTTTTAATAGCAGTTAAAAATACTCTCATTAGTGGAGTTATTGAATCTTCAAATGATGTGAGCATTTTTCAACAATGACTTCTGAATATAATGGTGTCAGATACTGCAGCAATAGAAACAATAGACATGACTGCCAAATGATTATTTATATTTGAAGGTTACAATCTACCTAATACTAAGTAATTGCAAAGGAATATGCAAGTTATCCAAATTTTAACGATAAAACTACTTCACATGAGAAGAATATCTTGAATATTTTATCCAACACAGTGGGTCTCTTAAACTTGTATCAGTACAGTATAGTATATAACCTGCTATTAGATCTAAATTTTACTGACTGAAATAGTGTTTATAGCTGTCAGGCCGAGGAATCCATCATTTCTTGCACTATTCATCATACTTCTTTGTCAAAAGACTTTTTCATAGACTTTTTCACCAACTTTTGTGGAATAGAGTATGACTGAGTTTATGTCTTTAAATCTGCAAATTATGGTGAGATAACCCAAAAACTTGAGGATGTATTTTCAAGAATAGAAGAGGCTAACTTGCCACTCTGATTAAATTTCTAACTTATACAATCATGTTCATCAATACTTTGAGATATATGTTCCCAAAAAGATGGTATTCAAATCAAGGTTCCCAGAGTAATACAGTGGTGAACTTGAAGCAACCTCAGTAAAGAAATTTAAGGCACATAGAGAACACAAAATAAGTACCTTGATATCAAAATAAGAGGAATTTTTTCAAAATTGATGGAAGTGTAATATTTTAGCTAAAAGAGGTGACGCAAAATATACTGTGAGTGAAGAAAACTCAATAATGAGAATCCCAAAACATTTTTGGAAGTATGTTAGATCCAATAAAATGCAAAAGGCTTACTTAACTCTATGAAATATGAAACCTCGGAATATACTCACAGACAATCAATATCCAATTCTTTTTTGCAATATTTTCAAACCTTTTATAAACAGAACAGTATTGTTGATTTACAGGGATCAGATCATGTGCCCTACAGTGTAGATACAATCAATATTTCAGTGAAAAAATCCTCAACAAAATCAACTTTTTGATATTAATAAAAGTCCAGGACCAGATGGTATTCCATCAATTATTTTGAGACAATGAGCATTTGTTTTTTAATTGTATCTTAAATTAATATTTGACATTTGTATCAGAAGGTCAAATTCTAGATATCTGGAAAATTGCTTTCATATTACCAATTTAAATCTGGAGAAGAGTGAAATTTCTAATTATAGATCTATCTCAATAATGAATGTTACTCCCAAATTGCTTGAAACCTTGATAACAGATATATTGAAAAATATTTTTAGGCACCTTGTCAATATGATATACTGATAGGAGAAGTATTGAACTTAATTTGTTATGCTATACCCAATATATACTAAATTCAAGCAAGGACAACTTGAAGGTTACTGGCAGTTCGGAGGAGGGGGGGGGGGCATGGGCCCCACCAAAAGGACTAGAGTTTTTGTTTACTTTGTTAATACTTCATTTGGCAAAATAGATTTAAATATTTATTTATGCTTGAATTATGTAATTGCTTAAACAATAAAATTGTATAGTATCTACAGTACATAATAGCAGCATATCTACAGTACATAAATAATATATAATATAAAATATGTTTATTATTTAACAAAAATCTACAATGCCCTCTCCCCAAAAAAAATTATAAGACTGGATCCACCCCTGTTGAAGGATAGTGTTTATGCCAATTTTATCAAACCTTGAATGTTTTGGAACTAGGAGTCTTCTTCTGGAATGGTTTGCCAGTTATTTGTCAGATGGAAACCAGGTAGTGAAATATGAATTTCAGAAGAAATTGTTTGTCGGTCTGAAGTTTCCCAAGGCTTTCATCTGGGACCAATGTTATTCAGTATATTTATTAATGATATTTCTATGACATTGAATAATGAGGATGTCTGGTTATTTGCTGATGACTTTAAAATTTTTTAGAAAATTTTGTTGATTTCTGATAGTGAGTAGATAATGAGAAAGTGCTTAGCTATTGGCATAGAGGAATTGTTAATCTTAATTTATCAAAATGCAAAGTCATTACATTTTCTGATGCAAAGCCATAACTTTTCCATGTGAACTATATACTCAATTGATGGAGTAGACCTCTAAAACGTTTCAACTATTTAAGTCTTGGTGGTGTTCAATTTAAAAATGACATTTGAGGCTGATATTGAAACAACTGTTAACAAATCAATACAGCAACTAGGTTTTATTAGAACATGTAAAGAGATATTCAGTTGCGATTCTTAAAACCTTATATTTTCTTCTTGAACATCCAATATTGATGTGGAGGTCAGTAATATTGCCACCATTTTTTCAACATAACATGAAAAAGCAGGAAACAGTTCAGCACATAGTTTATAGAATTCCATCGAGCCGATTAGGAATTCCTGGTCCCTTTATTGACCAAAAATACAAACTTATCACTTCAAGACTGCAAATACCCTCACTTAAATACAGGAGGAAAGGGAGCTATATTAAATGTTTATATAAACTTAGTAACTATTATGTGGACTGTCTCAAGTTGATTAATGAATTGAGATTTAATGTGCCTGCTAGAATCTGCAGACAAAAGCAAACTTCCTACATAAAATTTTATACATCACAATATACTTAAAACAACATAAAAGTGGGTGAAATAATTAATGACCTTGAAAATACTATTTTGATACAAAAATATCACAGTTAAATTTATTAATCCCAGGGACTGTGAATAAATAAGAAGAACTTGTCCTTATTATCTCTGACTAAATCAGATGATTATTGAATTATATGTAGTATAGTCAATATCAAGGATGTTTGTATTATTTCTATTAGTGTACGCTATTTTGTTATGGAGAGTAACTTGGTTGGAGGTTTACTAAACATATACATAGTATGTGTATGTTAAGTGCTTAAATCATGTAAAAGCTAAATGTCTTACAATAATAATTATATATTTTTATGTAAAGTTGGCTTTAGCCTGTGAAATAAATTACTAAATATTAAATACCCATTATCATTGTTTATGAATGGAATACTTCGTGGCGTTATTGTATTATTGGTGACATGTTGTTAGCGACATTCCAAATAAAAAAAATTAGAGGCCTCAGTTTGACCAACATTATTATTTAATGTAAGAGCAGCTGTCGATAGCTTAGTCATTGTCTTCAGTTATTTGATACAAATCTTTTTTTTTTTTAAGTAGGTAATTGGAAACTTAATAAAAATGTAGTTCTAAAATAAGAGAAGAACAAATGAAAGACAAAAGTAAAGTGGGGTGGAATAAAATAATTTCATACTATAGTATTTAGTGAAGCTAACCAAGAATGAAATGAAAAATGAAAACGTGTAAAACTTAGCATTGAAATTGATACATGAAATGCAGGTTAAAACATTTCTTACCTAATGTTCAGAAGCCAGAAAATGACTACATGGGTTGGGGCAGGCCTAGTTGCTTAAGGACAGCACTGTACGATGGAGGAGGAGGAGGAGAAGGATTATTAATGGCCTGGGTGTGGTGTGCTGGCTATTGCACTGCCTTGTAAAAGAGTGTGGCGACGGGGTGGTGTCTAATAATAATTTTTGCTGTTGCAAGGAGTTTTGGTTTGTTTTCATTGAGTATATTTCATAACTACATACACAACCCATACATACATCATAGTATACCATTACATAAACCAAAACCCTTCCCCTATTAAAATTATTATTAGACACCACTCTTTCACTGCACTCTTACATGGTTGAACAATAGTCAGCGCATCGCATTTAAGCCATTAACCCTCCTCCATCACCGATGGTCCAGTATTTTAGATGCTAGGCTTTCCCGAAACCATATAGTAGTTTTCTGACTTCTGAACAGCTGGTAAGAAACAGCTCAACTTGCATTACATGTTCTTAGTTCAACAATCAATTTTACGAGTTTTCATTTTTCATTTCAATTTTACCAAATTACTAGTATTAAAATGATTTATCATGCTTTCTTTTCTTTCATTTATGTTAAGTTAATTTCTCTTATTTCAAAATTATATATTTAGTAAACTTTCATTCACCTATCTTTTATTTCATAACTGAACGTTGTTTATATTTTATATGATTTGTGTCAGGTAACTGAAAATGATGACTAAGACATCAAAAGCTGTTCTTTCATTGAATAATAATTTTGGCTAAGATGACACCTCTCATTGTTTTACTTAAAAGTTATTGTTTAAAAAGGAATAGACACTCATGTATATGTAGTAATTAATCAGGTTCAAGTGACTGAATAAACACTCACTTTTAAAGCACGCTTCTTTGGTGTAGATGATTTCACTGATTTCAACGGATACACTTCTTCACTCACAGTTCATCATTCAACTTCTTTACCCTATGCTGGCATTCACCCTTCACTGTAATGTAACCAGAACTTCTCTGAGCCATCCAAATAATCCTTTTGTATCCTTCGCTGAAGACAATCTTCTAACCTAAGTAGGTACTTTGCAAAACATAACACTAATATACACCCTAAACTTAACACTAATATACATGTCTTGATCTGTTTAGTTCCATACATCACTTCCAGACATACTTCTCACATTACAATTCCCACACACTCCTTCTTCATCTTACTTGTCTTTCTCCAGATAAAGAAGAAGAAACATACTATGGCTGATCGTCTAGTGTACCAGTACCATTACACAAATTGGCCAGATCATGGTACTCCTGATCATCCACTTGCCGTCCTGAGCTTTGTGAAAAAGTCATCTGCAGCTAATCCTTCTGAAGCAGGACCGATCATTGTGCACTGCAGGTGAGTCAATGCACAATCTCTTCTCTGCTAATAATAATTCTTAATGGCTTGTTCACTCAAATGTGAACACTTTGAAAATATTAAATGTGATGACATTTTGACTGTATGAAAATTGCGGCCTTCTTCATAAAACATGAAAGATAACTTTGTAGGTAACATAATTATACAAAAAGATATGGTATAAAAATACAGAATGTAGGAGGGATGTTAGAAGTGTGAGGCAATATGTGAAATTTCAGAAAAGGGCCACAATCTTCATTAAATCAAAATGTCATAATGTTTAATGTTATTCATGTTTTAATCCTTTTTACTAGAGTAATATGTCTTAAAGAAATTGGTTGATTATCTTGAGTTTGATAGTATTATACACAGATGTTAATTATTTGTTTATAATTTTACTTTAGGCCTGCACATAATTTGTTGTTTTTGTTTTTTTTAGTGCTGGCGTTGGCCGGACAGGTACATATATAGTTCTGGATGCCATGCTAAAGCAAATACGTGCCAAAGGGGAAGTGAATATATTTGGATTTTTACGTCATATTCGAACACAGAGGAATTTCTTAGTTCAAACTGAGGAACAGTATATTTTCATCCATGATGCTCTAGTGGAAGCTATTGAGAGTGGAGAGACAAACATCAATCAGACCTATTTGTCACGTTACATTCATAGTCTACAGGCTAATGAATGTGTGGATGAAAAAGTAGAAGCTACAAGATTGCTTGATGTTCATTTCAAAGTAAGACTTAGTAGTAGAAATTTTTAATTGATGTTATGTTCTTTCTCTCTCTGTCTTTTTTGCTTTTCTTTCTCTTCCTTTCTTTCGTTCCATGCTTCTCTCTTTCCTTCTTTCCATCGCTCATTTTTTCTTTCTTTCTTTCTTTCTTTCTTTCTTTCTTTCTTTCTTTCTTTCTTTCTTTCTTTCTTTCTCTCTCTTTCCCTTTCTTTCTCACTTTCCATTTCTTTCTTTCTTTCTTTCCTTCCCTTTCTTTCTCTTGTTATTTCCTGGACAAGTTGGGTACTTGCTTTATGTTCCTGTGTTTTAAATCCTGAAAAATTAGTTTTTCTTAACTGGTATAATAAATTAAAGAATTTGATGTTGACGGTTTTGTCATTTTTTCCAGCATGTTACATCATTCCAGGCAAAAGATTTTAACCTAGTATCTGCTAATAAGCCATGCAACATAATGAAAAATCGTTCAACAGAAATCTTGCCTGTAGAGAGTGCAAGGGTTCATCTTACACCAAAACCTGGAGTGGATGGCAGTGATTACATTAATGCAACTTGGTTTCAAGGTAGGAATGGCAAGAAACTTTTTGACATATGAGTTTTGAAAAAATATTTCTCATGGTAATACAAAATTTTTTATAAGCATGTACATATTATGTATATTTTTAGCATTTTAAAATTAAATTCACAACACAGTAGAAGTGCAAGTATTGTATACTAACTTCAAGGAGTATTCTTGTGCCACTTTTGTCAATTCAAAAATTGCTCTTCGTAAACCATCTTTGGAATTAATTATGATAGTATCTATCATGTATGCTAATGACCACACTATCTTGTTGTTTTACGTGCTTTGAATTTCCTGGTTGATTCCTTCTCCAATTTCCCTCTAGATGGTGCATATAGATGTTGAAAAGAATGGATGATAATCTGCCTTCAGCCAATGCTGGTTGTTTTTGCTGCAGACTTTCTTCCCTATCATCATAGTATTTTAATTGTTGAGTTCTTATTAGACTGAATTGCCTTGAGCAACTGATTCAGGATTTTCTTCTATTGAAGTATTTCTGAAGTATTTCCCAGAATTTCTCCCGGTTTACATTGTCATGTGCCTTTTCATAATCAATAAATGTTATAAAAGTTAGCATTCCTTTCGTTGGATTCTAATATCTTTAATGTAAAGATGTCTAACATCTGTAATGTGAAGATGACATCTTTAGGACTTCTTGCATTTTGAAACTCTCATTGCTCTTCTCCCATACTTCATGAAATTCTCACATACTTCATTGAACATGATCCCCAGCAGGAGAACCCAATCTACAAATATGTGAACATTATATCATAACCCATAATATTCAAAACTCAGTATGAATCAAACAAGCTGTTTTCACAATGTGTTTATATTGCACATTCGTTTAGATATGAGGCTGCTTTTTACCTTTCTTTCTTTTTTTTCCCCTGTCTCATCACATTGTCAAAGTTCTGTGAAAAGATGGCATTGTTGTTCTTTAACATCATCAGGAAAGGACTAGATCTTAGTAATTTATATTAATTTCTTTACACTCTACAGGTTTCCACAAGTTGCGTGAATTCATTATTACCCAACATCCTTTGCAAGAAACCGTCCAGGACTTTTGGCAGATGGTCTGGGACCACAATGCTCAGGCTATTGTGTTGCTGTCTAGTGTAGATGATCAGGTAAATATTTAACTTAGAAAATTTTATGTAGGAATATTTTTAATATATTTTTGTAAATGACTCCCATTTTTATTACTCTTTTCACTCTAATATGTGTTGTTTTGTAGGACTATGGAACGTTCTGGCCAATGGAACAAGAAGACATTGAAGCTGAACACTTTAGAGTAAAATTAATTGATGAAACTGACAATGTTGTGTACCTGACGCGAGATTTAAGTTTGCATTCTCTTCAAGATGATTATGAACTGGTTGTGCGTATGTTTCATCAAGCAAATTGGCCTCATAGCTGCAGTTCGATGGTTACTGTGTTTGATCTCATCAGTCTGGTTCAGAAATGGCATCAAAAATATCAAAATGGACCTATTGTTGTTGTAGACAGGTGAGAATGATAATTATCTTAATATGTAGGTTATGTTTACAATAAAATCTAGTCGTTCTAATGTAGAGTTCTGCTATCTCGTGTTCTGTAACTAAAGAAGCATATCATACTCTTGGCCATGTTCGTAAACATAACAATTGCATAGTGTGTATAATAATGAGAATAACGATAATAACAATAATAGTAATAATTATAATAATAATAATAATAATAACAACAATAATAATAATAACAACAATAACAACGATGATGATGATGATGATGATGATTGAGCAGTGTTGGAAACATCTATTGCTTCATCGACCAACACTGAGACAAAATTAGCATTCGCAATTTCATATTCAATTTCTTGCAACAGTGAATGAGATATCGAATCTAAGAAATAATTTTGTACCCAATTTGATAACCTGCGGAAAACTGTTGAAGTTTCCAAATGAGTCCTCAGAAGATAATCATATTCTGTGTAGTGCAGTAATTCGACATAATTGCCACAATTGAGTGACAATCTAGATTTGTCATGTTCCTTGAATGCTAATTCCTGTTTACTTAGGAAACACAGCGTTAATGGACCTTTTGAGGAGCTTGCGATTTTGTTGCTCTTTCTTATTGTGGAGATATATATATTTGAAATTGATTGTCCGATTGCGTTTCAATGCAAGCATGCCCAAATGATGCCAAAAGATACGAAGATCAGATGTGTTCGTGTGCAGTTTCTGCTTTTGTGAAACTTCCCAAATTTTTGAATCTCTTTTGTCCATGAGGTATTCTGTTCTTGACCAAAGCAAACAAGACCAACAAAACAAAGTTTTTCACTGCCAGCTAGCCACTTATATTTTTCGTAGGCAGAGCAAGTGAAATGTCTTGTGAAGTTTTTTGTTATCTGCTATAATTGTGCAAAAGCTGGTGTTTGCGTACCGTTTTCAATTACCTGCTTCTTTTCGTGGAACAGACTCGTTCAAAAGGGTCTCCTCAAATCATCATAAATTAAATACTCACTGGAAGACATAGTACACACAATTATTCCTGAATACCCGTTAGATTACACAAAGCACGTATTACCACACTACATAGTTACTACATATCCTCGTGAAATTACTAGATAACTCGACACTACGTCACAAACTCTACAATGGATCACCTGTACGTCTTGTACTGACATCACCTCTATGCCATTCACACTGATTCTGAAGAAGAAGAAGCTGTGCTACTACAAAATTTGGGGATTTTAGAGGTTTGATCACGTGTGTCAGAACTACCTTTCTGAGAAAAATTAATACAATCCCTTCTGAACATTTTTGTTCACTCTCATTACAGTGAGAGAGGAATATGTGCTCTATAATGATTGTATAAGTTATAAACTTCTTGACAAACAGTAGGTAATTTATACTAACAAAAAAAGTTATTTAAAATAATTTTACTTTGTAGTAGCACTGGCTGTAATGTGAGATGCCTGGTTTGCTCTCATCTGCTCTCTAGCGGGGACTACTGCAATCACATTCGCAGGGCAGTGAGAGCAGGTCGACCCCTGGTGATGAAGTATAGGAGAGGGAGTAACGTCTTCAATCCCTTGTTAGAAGGGTTTGTAACATTATCTGCTATGGCTCACTCTGCTCTTCGCCTGCCCCTGACCCAGTGAAGTAGATGCACGTGCAGCTGTCTTTCCCAGCGAAGATGTCAGAGCTGGGGAAGAGCCGATAAGGCCCTTATAGCGCTCTTGAGGCAGAGCAATGGGTCGGCACAAAGATTGCAGTAGAATATACAGATGGTGCAATATTTTTGATCACGTGACATATGGTTCATTGTGATTTTAATTCTCATAATTCAACAGCAACAAGTACCTTACTTAATATTTTGAAACTGTATAGTTGAGATGTTTATTCGATAAATTAAAAATTATGATTCGATTTGAATTTGTGGAAGTTTGCTATCTACAAAAGCGAATGAAATGAGGTACTTACAAAATTTGGCAATGCGGGAATGTAGATTATAGTCCGCTTAAACTGCAACTATTTAATACAATCAGTGTACTATCCTTTATCATACGTAGATGAAAGACATTAAACTGAAATTGTGTTGCCAATGTACATCAAAATTTTAAGCTTAAATTCAAAAGTATTCAATCAGCTCTATTGTATTTGCGTTTGCAATATGTATGTCTCTTAACCCTCTTAAGCCGTGGGCATTGAGCATATTGGAGTAATGTCTCGTTACGGTACACAGTCAGTCAGTCAGTCAGTGCCTTTTATCACTTCGGGCCGGGGGCTCGGCACTGTCAGTAACCGGGCTTCCTGGCCGAGAATCCGTGGTTTCCGAATTTGCTTAAATTTGCATGTCCTAACGACGCACAAAGTTGAAAGTAACGGAATCGCCAGTCATCACACAAAAAGTAGTGAATGTTCCGGTAATGTAATTAACACACTGATTTAATGCCAAAAATAAAATAAACTGTTAATAGATTTTGGCACAATCACCAACTTGTAATGTCTTCATTTCGTTAAAATTTTAGTAACGTTTCGTTAAAATTCGTAATTTTCTTGATCATTTTTTTTATAGCAAAAATCACTTGCAAATTTACCCTCAATTAACCTGCAATTAACATGGCTATTTCCATTATTATAATATGAGAGATTTTGGTTTGGTGTTTTGAATAATACTTCTTTATCTGTCCCCTTAACCTTTGTGTAGGTTAATATCTAAATCAATACTATTGTTTTTGTTTTATGGAGATATCATCTGTAGGTGTCACTGGGTTTTGCGGGTTTAGCGAAAATTAAATGCACCAAAATTATTTACAAGCATTTGCATCCTATGGACCATATCAAATGTACTTTAATTTAGTGATTCTTTCTACACACGAAAATAAGACACAACACATAAAAGTGAAGTTAATTAATAAGAAAATTAAAAGTAGAAAATACAATAATTTGTATTATGAAATTTGTACCAACACGAAATGAAGTGCTACTTTGTACATTTGACACATGATTCTTGTGCATTGGTGGTACAAACTGCATCTTCTCTGAGAACAATCTATTCTAATGTGGTTTACATCAGAATCTCTTTTTGCTTCCATTTGCACTTGATCTTTGACGGGGACTCTGGCAGGAAAGATTTCTGAGGTGCCTTTTCATAATACGTATATCAGTAAATGTGGACAATTACCTTCATGACTGTGTTGCATTACAAGCCAAGCATTATGATTTTGTTTCAGATTGAGTTGGTTTTTCCTTCTTGTAACATTTCCTCCCCAAAGAGCCACATTTCATTGCTGTTTTCTAAATTATTTCTTCACATGTTACATTTGGTTGATAAATGTTTCCTGCATCAGAATCCTCTTTCGTTAATCGTTCTGTGAACTTCAACTACTGAGTTCAAAAGTCAGCCGGGCAGACGATTTGTGTCTCTTTTAGTTTCATTACCACTTTCTTCTTCAATGAACAGAGCACATGAAGAGGTAACAAAAGAAAATTATCATCTTGGTAATGTTCATCTATTGTTTCTAAACTTTCATACACTTCTAGAATGCAAACAAACATTAAACATGTGAGAATGTGTGCCTCTCGAGATCACGCCATAGCATTGTTTTTATATCAAATAAACTCAACTCCTGGTTTTACCTGGAGGTGACACCGTGGATTTGTGGCCTGTAAAATCTATGTCATCAACATTTAATTATCGAATGACAATCACTAATCAATTATTTGCAGTTTTGAAAGTGCAGTAAACAAGTTGTTGTCTATTTGTACTTCCTTTACCATCCAATTTCTGTAGGAAGAAAGAGCAGAAGTGTGTGATGTGCCAAAATTTCTGCAAGACATCTTGAATAAATAAAACCTACAATTCCCTAATAGTTCTAGCAGCAGCAGGAGTAGTATTGGTGCCAAATTTATTTCAGTACATTCCAGAAAGGCCAAAACATGAGTTTACTGACATCAACTTACTCAAATTTGTAAATGACTATTTATACAAAATGTGACAAAGATGTGTCACCTGTAGGTGTCCGGGAACTCTTAAGAGTTCAATAAACCAAATACTCTCAAATTGCTAAAATACGTGGACAAAACAAAAATTCAGCGAGCACAACCAGATTTACCTGTCTCGTAAGATGACATCAACCAGTCCCATGATTCCCATGCATTAAAGAAACAATAATATCTCTTCCTTTCTTGAACACAAATAAAAGTGTAACTAAATTGGTGCAAAATAAAATCTTCAATGTCAGGGTCAATCTTCTCTGCAATTTTTCATAAACATAACTTCAACTTGAGAACAATCCCTTAGCACATGCAAAAATCAATAGCCTCAGTAGTGGCTGTGGGTCCTCAGGACCCCAAAACGTGTTTATTGATCAAAATAAAGGAGTACAGAGCATGGTTATTGGTGAATGTGATCTCAGATGGCAAGGAATTAACATTGACAATTTTCACACTCAAAATCTTACTGTAAATTTCTGTTTATGTTCCCTTATTTTGAATTATAAGTGTCATTTATCTGCAGGTTTGGAGGAACAGAAGCTGCTACGTTCTGTTGTCTAACAACCTTGAGCAAACAATTAGAATATGAAAATCATATTGATGTTTACTTATATGCCAAAGTATTTCATAATAAGCGTCCTGGAATTTGGAATACTCAGGTATGTTATTGAAAATTCATGTATTTTTGTATGGTAATTATAATGTAGATCTATATATAAATATATTTTTTAGCCAAAACACACTGAATGAATCCCAAAAGTTTCAAAACAGTAAAAGATATTATTATATTATTTTCTAACATCCAACCCAACAGTTCTTTCTATTTCCATTGACCATTTTTTACTTTAGAGCAGTTATTTTGCTAAAATGAACATTAGAATAAAAGGCAAAATTAATTTTCAAAAGCTCTGTGCTAAACTGTTTTCTAAATAGTTTTATTACAAATTTTTGCAACAATAATACTTAGTTGTAGGTCGAGGGGGAGTTCACTGCCTACTTCTTCCACACCCTTGACACAACACAGTATTCCACATTGAGGGTTTCATTCAGACATAGTTTCTTTCATTATGTACATTTCAAATAACAGCTAAAAAGAACCACAGACTATTAGAATATTTGAACACCAAGTAATGCTAGCAAACTTTAAAAGTGAGCGCCGAGCAAACCCCTCAACCTCCGGGGGGTAAGTGATAATTACAATATATGTCATTTACTCAGCTAACTCATTTATGAAGTGAATGTAGTGTTACATAGACTTGAAAAAGTCTACTAGAGGGGAAAAGAGTAATTGAGCGGCAATGTTAAAATTTAGGATAAGGAAAAGTCAACAAATAGGTTGCATCCAAGGAGAAAAAAGAAGTTATTCAGTAGCATATATTTTCAAATGAGTAAAAGCTTTAAAACCTGGTGCAATTTAGTTATGGTTAGCAGACATTTGACAGTAATAATTCAACAGTAATTGTGTGATCTGCCCGTTCCTTGAAGTAGTAGTACCAAGCTTTCTGTTAAGTAGTTCTCTGACAGTTGTAATGAGCTTTCAGACATAAAAATTAAAACATTCAGCTTACTATGATTTAGTGAATTGTTAAGTTGACAGTATTTGAAATGTGGAAGGCTGGGCGTACATTATAAAAGAATATTAATAAATTCAATATGGAAAATGCCATAAAAACTCTAGTAAGACCACTAGTCTCATTGATCTGATTCGTATGTGGATTTTATGGATTAGATTGCTCTGACATTGCCATCAGAGAATCATGAAGATTTGTTTCTAATGTAATTTGGACATAGATCCAAATAATGCTTTGGAAGAAATTGGTTTGCTGACCTGTATGTTTACCTGTAAAATTTATTGTCCAGACTTCACTCTCTTATCTGTCTTTTGTGCAGAATTATTCTGCATCATAATGATAATATGGATGTTTATGATTTTTGCAGGATCATTACTTGTACCTTTACAAAGCCATGGAGGCATCCAGTGGAAATGCAACCAATGCTATCCCAGCCCCTCCTCCAGCTCCTCCTGATCTATATCTCACAGCCAATGGCCACATCAATGGGTTTGTGGGCAATGGTAATGGCAGCATGTGCATGTCCCCAGATGAACTGGAGGTTGGGATTGGCCCACAAGAGTCTCCAGCATAATGGCACGAAGACAAAGCATCAGACTATGATTGTTGGATGGACAAATGTCACTCTCTCTCTCTCTAGCGTCTGGTTGTGATGTGAAGTAGCACAAAAGTTGAGGCCTGCCTGCGGTAGCATGTTAGTGAGAATGAGAAATAAGTGACGTAACATGTGGTGCAAAATTATTTATGAAGAAATAGGTGTCAGTCAGTGAATTTTACCTTAGTGTTGCATTTGTACGTAACTAACTTTGTGTCCTCACTTTGATTTTTGTGTTTTGGATGGAATTGTGTTGTGTTGTATTGTGAATCCAAAACAATTCAGGGGCTTGACGTTTAGGGCACTACTCACTCCAGACTATAGGTACACAATGTCCTTTTATGTTTATTTGTGTCATCATGATGGAATAGTCATGCACTTGGCTGTATTAATGAATTAGGTGTTGTACAGCTACTGTACTTTATTAGTTATTTGTTACAGTCAGCCACAACTGTCCTTAATGTGTAATATTGAACTTGCTTCAGTGTTGCATGTATGTTTATCTGCCAGATAATTGAAAAAATTGGCTCATGTCTGTGTTATATTCATGTAGTGGAGCTTCATTAGTGCCAAGACAGTGTTAAATATCAGTATACTGGAAATATGGTAATCATTTGTACTTTATTGCAAGTATACTTGGTATCTCATGACAAGATCTTAATGTTTAATTATGTGATGTTTGTCAGTCCCCTTTACAAATGACTGCAACAAAATGATTCTGTCATATCCTGCTGTGTGTGTTTGGGTTCGTCTCTTTGGGGGCAAGCATAGTTCCATATCATCCATTCCAAAAAACTTCAGGTCATGTTGCATTGATTTGTGTTCACTGTGTGGATTTATTCCATGTGTGTAAATGCACAAGAAATTGACAACAATTAGTAAAAATTGTGCACTTGTGACAATGGGAGCTAGAGCTGTGGCATTGTGCTGTGCCTGGGACACTTGATTGTTCATTACCACTGTGTTGTAGTTTCTTCCTCTCCTCAATTATTCCTGTACTGTTGATGTGATTTGTTAGGTCAGTAGTATGTGTTTTGGACTTTAGTGATATGTTTTTTGTAAATGTAGAGTTGCTTTGATTTTTAATGTAGTGTCTTTTAAGTGTTCAGACAGACATATATTGTATATTGCGAATAATTTTTTTCTGATATGAGCTTAATTTTATCTCATTAGTCAAATTCCACTATGTTAATTTTAAATAAAAATATATATAAATATATACGTAATGTATGGAAAGTATTACTATATGTTATTTTGAAGGTCATCAGTGGTGAGCTGGTGTGTTGCTTGATTTACAGTTATTTGTAATTTCTGCAAATAAGATATTTTATTTACTGATATTATGCAAATTATTGTAGTGTTTATCATTGTATTATGGAGTTAAAAATTGATACATGTTTATTAATGCAATGTTATTGATGGACAATATATTTTTTGTGAGTTGGTTAATGTGAGTTGGGGAATATTTACAAGATCGTTATGTGGTCTTGATACATTTTCAGAGCCTCTGTTCTCTGGACTCCAAGTGACTGATGGATTTCTGATATCTAAAATAGTTGTGAAAATATTTTATGTAAAGACAATAAATTTATTTTCAGTAAACTGAAAGTAAGAAATCCATCATCAGGTGGCAAGAATGTTGGAATCTCATTTTAAGAATCTCTCCGACGTAGGCACTAAGCAACATGTATCAAAATAAAGAAATAACATTCACTATGTTGGCTGCCTTGAGTTATGACAAGACTTTTTTTAATAATTGGCATTTTCAATTTGAGTGAATAAAGTAAAAAATAGTCTATTCTTGATGTCACAAAAACAAGTTTTTTGAGGATGCTAAATGTCATTTGTGTTCTTTGCTGCATTTTTTTGTTTTATTTTAAAGTTTATAAAGTATGTTTTAAGGCTTTTAACTGGCATCCAGATAAGCAACTACAGGAGAACCCCATAATTACCAAGATTTTTATAACTATTTTTGTGCTATTTCTATATTTTGGATATTTGTTCCACATTATGGAGTGCAGATTGATATGAACATCTTTGCCCTTGAAAAATTAATAATGTTGATAAAAAATTTCAAGAAACATCAAAATAACAGTATCTATTTAAAAATTGAACATCTATAATTTTCCAAAAAATAATATCTCAGATGAAAATATAACGTTAAATGTAATATAGGAAGCATTTGGCCCAGTGTATACAGAGTTTTAAAGAAAAAATTAAACACTTTATTAAATTTTGAAGGTCTAGTAAACTTCATGTTTATATATTCTTAGAACATGTCATTCATTAAATGAAAAAAATTCCTTTCACGTTGCTAGAACATGTAAAAGATGAAAGGCCAAAAATGATGGTTGTGAACAAATATTGTTGAAGAAAGAAAGATGAATCTTTCAGTTTCCTCCAAATTGGGTATTTCCAAATAATTCTCAAATTTTATCTCTTTTTATTTCCTTTATTTGCATGTCAGGTAAAAGCCGGAAAGTAAATTCCATATAAATTTCTGCTGATCAGCAGGGAATAAGACATTTTGAAGGCCTCTTTATTCTTTTGAATTATCAGTGGAATAAATAAATATCTTGGCTGTTTCAGTTTTGTTCTTATTGATATAAAGCTACTTCTTCCAGAAAACAATGTTTATGACTGTAAAAGTTGCTAACAATCTGGACTTTTTCCAGAGATGAGTGGAAACAAATTGACACCTAAATTCTTTCAAGTGCCAAGTTATGTCCTTTATACAAATTACAGTAAAATAAATAAATATTGAATTTTTTGCACTGGTCTGACATGGATGTCACTCTAATAGGAGAGACATTTTTCCTGGCTAGAGTTAATCAGACCTTGTCATCACATTTGAATTAGTTGGGAAATCATTTGTCAAGATCATTACATCTTTTCTTCTGAAGTTCAAGATTTTGGCATATCTTTTCCTTTACTAAATAATTGGATAATAAAATTGCAATTGATATTAAAATTACATTGACCATATCATTACGATTAGTTCATTACCTTTAAAATTGAATAGCCATAATTTTGAACAACAAGACTTAGACTGCTACTTAACTCTAATTAAAAATGAGTGGACAAGGGAAATACAAATTTTACGGTTTCTTTTTGTGCTTATTGTATTTTGTTGTGTAAGTGTAGATATGAAATTGCTGGCAACTATCTCACATAATGGACATCATTGCCCTTGAAGAAAACCAAATGCTGCTGGAATTGCTGAAGAAAGTTTGTGGAATATATCATCAAAATTTTACCGGTATATTTGTTAGTAGTCTACAAGATCTTGTTTTTTATTTACAGGATCTTTTAATTTTATATGTTTGTTAAACAGTTGCAGATAAGTATCTGCCTGACTGATGATCACAGGCCAGATAGTGATAAACTTTTACTAGCCTGTTAGTATGCATATAGGTAGATTTCAATGTTTTGTTGTTTATGTTGATACATATAACTTGTGCAGAAATTCATTGTTAAAATTATTGTTATGTGTAATTTTATTCCTATGTGATATTTTCTTTGTAACATTTAAGTATTCCAACCATACAGCTATAAATTCTTATAAAACTACATTACTGTGATGTTTGGAAATTTTATTGTTTTATGGGCAATGAAATTATCTGTGAGGTTGTCCAGAGATTGTGTTGGAATAAGGTTTGGAAATACACAAGTTACTCTTATACAATATAAATGTTTATTCAAATATTTCATTTAATTATTTTTAGTTTTTTTTAGTAATGGCCTGACTATATTAGTGTTCATGTCTTGGGTGTATGTTACATGATTGGCTTTTTTATATGTATATTGTATTTTATAAGTATTACCTGCAAAGAATTGTAATTATTCAATATTGTCCCAACAAATCAATTCAATAGTAAGTTTGTTATTATAGTTGTATATTTGGAGATTTGTCTTTTTATTCTGCTGCTGCTGATGATGATGATGCCTTCACTTATGTTTACTTGATCACAAAGGTGGATTTCACTTTATAATGCTTAAACAATGAATTACGTTATTACTGAGGATGTAAAAGAGCTGGTCAGTGAGGTCAGTTGTGGCTTTAAAAAAAAATACGAACCTTGTAGTTTCTAGTCTTCTGTGAAGAGGGCATTAGGTTGTGGCGATCTAGCGTTACTAATGTCTTGTAGACTATGGTATAGCAGTCAAAAGCCTTGTAACATTGAAAACTTTCCCAAAAGTAAATATTCTGATGAGAAATATGTTAGTTATTTAGAAATATTAAGTTCCAAGTGAAAACAAATGAAATAAAATTGTATTTGTTTTTGTTTGTGTGGATGTAAGTCAAATTGCAGTTTGTGTGTTATTTTGTTTACTATATATAACAGAAGGTTAAAAATTATCATGAACCATAGAAATTCTATTAAAATTTTTCAAGTACAAATGCAGTAAGTGGTCTCTGTTTTGCATTTTTAAAAATTGCAAGGGGAAACATTCTAAACATATGCACCACGAACCAAATCTTGAATCCTGCCTACTTTTGAACTGTACTAGTAGCCAGATTTATGAAGACAAGAAACAATACAATTCATGATGTAAAAATACCATTCAGCTTTTTATATTAGACAACAATGAAAGGGGAAGTAAAAATCGCCACCTAATGAGGTCCTTTTGGTAATTTCCTTTTAAGTGTTTTATACTGTAAATAGATCTTTGTAAATATTCCATGGAATGGGCTTCGTGAATGTGTCCAAGTATCCTTAGAAATTTGTACAGTCCTATATACAACTTCCTACGAAGTTACAGATATTAAAAATATGCTAAAATAATAAAAATTGCTTTATTTGTCAAGTAACAATCTACTTTTATTTACTTTGAAACAAAAGCCCAGCAATTCTGAATTTAATTCCTTTTAGTGTTTGATGAAATTCCACATGTGTCAAATGTAAGAAATTACATGCTCAGACAACATTCCTATATTATAAATATTTAGTTGAGAATACATGGATCAAATTTACTTTCTGCATTTTCTTTGTTGCATGTCTAATTATGTTGCCAGTATTTTTTTTAATCAAAAGTATTTCAATATTCCTTCATTCCTAATATATGTATATGATTTTAACTTGTTAAGCTCTTTTTACCTATTTATTGATGGTTTCACAACAAATTTTATATTGTTGACTGTTTCAAAGAAGGTGCAGTATGTAGTACAAATAGCATTACACAGTTCTCTATATAGCTAAACTAAATTATCAGTCATTGAGTGTTGATTACTACATAAACAACAAAATCATTCATCACAAAATAATGCCTGTCTTTTTTTCTGTCAAAAAATCTATTTATCTTTCATAATTAAATGAAAGACTAGGCACAAATGAAAGGAAAACTGACATTTTAATATTTCAGAATCTTAACTAACGAGTGTTCGTAAAACAAGTTAAGAAATCAAGCATTGTTAGGGAAAAATCATAAAAAAAGGTGTATAACATAAGATATTGTAGTAATGTGTTATCACAAGAAGGATTAAATTGTATTCAGCAACTCAAACCTTACAAAAGTGATGGCTAGCAGACATTCACCCTCAAACTAACATCATATACAAGAATAGAAATTATTAAAACTAGTTACACAGTAACAGTTCAGTGCAAGAATAATTTTTTTTAAATGATTTTTGAAACAAAAACTTAAGTAAATGGAAAATTAAATAAATGACGAATATTAAATAGGTTGAAAAATATTCATATCTTATCCCTTGAATTGACCCATTTGCAAATTTACACTTGTTTTGCAGTTACATTGTGCATGGTTGAACTTCATGTTTAATTTCATTACAATGGAAACTTTGATGTGAAACATGATGTGCATATAGAAAGAAAGGATAATAACTATGTGAAGAATATTAGTTTGGGAGAGAACAATTGTTGGAGATGTAGTTAGTACAAATTTTAAATAAAACTAGAAACCTTGTAGAAAATGTGTTTTAAAAGATAATGATAGAGAACTGGACAATCCAGTAGCAGTGGCTAGTCTCTTAAACCAATATTTTTCGAAAATTGCTGCTTACCTCACTATGGGTCCACAGACACCACAAATCCAATTGACAAAAGTTGTCCCAAAACAGTGTTAGTTTCCGGAACTTATTTCTATGAAATCCTCAAAATAATCGGTAATACATATACACTGGTAATATATAATATATATACCGATATATCTTCCATGAATTTTGACAAGACTTGTGGCCATCAGATCAAAAATATTATTTGGAGAGTCATCAATCATCTACAATCAGGATTTCAATTCTGTCATGTCTTCTGCTCCAGCATTAAGAAACATCATGAAGTTGGAATTCTCATTGTTGGCCCTGAGAAACAAAAAACTGTTTCACTCATGCTTTCAACGTACAGACGATTTTCTGTACACTGTTCTGTTATCCAACATTTGCTTAAGAGAACCATCGAAATAAAATGCCCAATGGAGATTGGTGGAATTAGGAACAATTCCGAACTGGACATACAAAAACATATTAAATTTTATCAAAGCCATGAGATTAAGTTGGCTTGTTCATCTTAATAGGATGTCGCATGACAAAATAGTGAACAAGATCTTTAACTGGAATCCAGTGAGCCCCAGGAGAAGAAGGAGGCCTAAAATAGATGGAAAGATAATGTTGTAAAAGACATCAGGAAAATGATTGGAAATTGGATCGAGCACTCGAAGAAAAGGTAAAAATGGAGAAGAACAGTTGAACAGACCAAGACGTTCATTTGAAGGTCGTAGAGCCTTAGAATAAGAACCGTCGAAATGGATTGCACAACGTCGATATTTTTAACGTTTCTTAAGGCTATCAATGCGAAGAGAACAGGGTTCCTCAGGCTTCATCCGCTCTGCTGCATGCTTCCAGTTTGAAAATTAGTCGTCAATCCAAGCTTGGTTCGATTTGATGACACGCGTGTCGAACTTCATTAATTTTCGCCCGCCCGCTTCGCTGCAAAAAATGCAAATGCAAATTCATTGTTTTTGTTTTCCAAATTGCGGGTTCCGAAGAGCTCTTTACAGTCAGCTCTAAAAAAGAAAAACCTTTGACGCCTATTTCCTAAATTATTACGGTATGCATATTTTACTTATACAGTTTTTTTAACAATGTTATAAATAAAATGTTTATCGGCCAAATAATCAGACAAAATAATTGTTATTTAAAAAATTGACGTTTCGACCGTGTTCTTCCCCATCCATTGTGATCGGTATTAAACAAATTAACTTCAGTTTTGCTACAAGTTTGTGTTGATTTTCCTCTCTCTGAACACTTTTAGAGAATAAGTTACATATGTATTATTTAAATTGTAGATGATGCTTTTTCTATTCTATCGTATTACGAATCAGTCCATCTGCCAGTGTCTCCCCGTGTTGAGGCGAGCTTTAATTAATTTGGCCGCGTATGTGCAACACCCCGTCCATTTACTTATTTTTAAGTAAAGGGCCTTAATTAAAGTATCAGGCCTTTTCCCCTCTCCAAAAGCCTGATGGATTTGCATCAATTGCGCTTGCATGAGCCGACCTTCAATCTTCGTGCGCGTGCAGTTTTTTTTTCTTTTCTTTTTTTTTTCTTTTTTTTCTTTTTTTTAGCGTCTGTTCCTGCCAGCAGCATTTGAGCGAGGTACTTTTTAATGCTCTCGTTTGTTTTTCATTGCACGACAGCGCAAAAGCAACTTTGTGTTAAAGTCTTACAGGACCTGGTGGACTACACAAACATTGAACCCGACTTCATGAATACCATCTCTGGTGACGAGTTCTGGGTGTACGGGTTCGTACACGGAAACCAAATCCCTGTTGTTACAGTGGAAGCTCTCCACGTCACCAAGATTAAAAAAAGGTGCGCCAAGTGCGTAGCAACGCCAAAGTGATCCTGAGTGCTTTCTTTGACTCTCGCGGTGTGGTACACCAAGAGTATGCCAAACAATTACCAAAGGGATGTCGTCCGTCGCCGACGTGAAGCTATGCGGCGAAAACAAAAGACCGGAGTTGTGGTCAAGAGGAAATTAGCGCCTCCATCACGACTTCTGGCTGTTCCCCTAACTCAAGACGCTATTGAAAGGTACGCGATTTCAGACAAGAGAGGGCAGTATGGCTGTAACGACAGCCGAGCTAAACTCCATTTCGAAAGAGGCTTTCTCAGACTGCTTCCAACAATGGTAACGTGGGAGAAGTGTGTGGAGTCCCATGGACACTACTTTGAGGGTGATTAGGTTTCCAACGCTCCAGGTGTGCTAGGTTTTTTCCCCGGCCAACGGTCTGTAACAGGTCTGTTTGAAAAGTATCAGACATACCGCCATAGACTTTGTCAAACGTTGTGTATTGTGTGCGTAACCTAATGCGCATGCACGAAGCGCGGGTTTCTCCCGTCGTAAATTCAAAAGTATGAATTTGATTATTAATAAATGAATGAATACGAAGGGTCGAGTGAAGTAAAATGAAACAAGAATACAGAGCTGTCAAGACTGGGGCTTGCGATTGACTGAAGAAAATACAAAGGCGCAAGCCTAGCGATAGGCTTCAGAAGGATTTCTTGTGACTGTCGCAGATAAAACATTGATAAGTGAAATAACTTCAAGATTTCGGCATCGTGCGAAACGCCGACGATCAAACTAAGCGATTGGTGCTAACGCTCGCGCGGTTCACTATAAAATATAACAAAAACTTCCTTTTAATTTGTTGAATCATTTAACAATTATTATCAAACGATTTAACATGCAAAAGAAAGCTTTTTAAAGAAATGAAGTACTCGGAAAAGGTCAAAATCAGAATTATCCCACTTTTCTCTGAATGCATGTCGTCAATTACCAAAGGTATTAATATAACTGATAATGCTATAAGATCACATTTCCTCGCATTACTTCTAAAACTACAGTTTAAAAAAATTAAAGAGTTCAACGAAAACAAGACCCGCGCCGTTCTTTTAAGCGCCCCTTCTATCCGTAGAGGGAAAAAACTTCTCGTTTTTCAAAAATATGTACATGATCTTTTTTAAAGAGCTGATGTTTTGCAGTAGACTTTGTCGAATGCAAAAATATCTTAAATATTGTAGTTTTGAAGTGCTTACTTCTTGCAGGTTTTGAAAATACAGAGCTCGCCGAAAATGGGACTAGCACCATATTTTTTTACCGCCCCTTGACACATATGAGGAGAAAATTTAAAGAAAAAAGTTGCTGTTTTAGAGAAAAAGTTATAAACTGCGTTTCATGATTCCTTCAAGTAATTTGTAAATAATTTTGTTAGCTTTACTAAATGCCCGGCACAAGCCTGTATTATTTATTGTGACTGTACACCTGTTATTTGTAATTGTAAGAATTTGTGCATCGTGGACACTGTAATCTTAGGGCTCATTGAGATTGATGCAAAATCTTGGATCATTCACATGAAAAGTATATTCCTAACAGTATAAAATTGGGGGACTGTGCAACCGTGCAACTTGTGCACGAGCCGCCATGCTTGGATTAAGTAAGTATCCAATTTCTACAGATTTTGCATTGTTCAATGTTTGTATTTCATAAACTTCTATTTGTATACTTAAGTTAGTTTCATTACATTTGTTACTTACATTTTACTATAAAACTGTCTGGCTGATATCTTTTGGATTCTTACTAATCATTACGTAATACCACAATACTTCCGCCGCCAGCACGGAATTTACTCTCCCATTAATTGCAGCAATATTTGAATACGAGAGGAATTCACCATCGGTCATATATGTATCATGTTCGCATAAGTGTGAAAAATAATTGTCTTCCACGATGATATTTTTCAAAACCCTCTTTGCTACCTCATGGTCTATGTAAATCTATATTCACAAACTTTTCTTCAACATTATTTTTTGATTCACAATCGGAATTTTCTTCGAAATACTCGTCTCCAACATCGTCTTCTAAAAAACGTTCTCTTATACTTCCTACATCATCTGCCATTTACAGATCAAAACTTTTACTCATATTGAGAACAATGTAATAAGGGGAATGCATTATGTTTTTAGGGAGAGGATTTTTATGCCATAAAACATCTTGGAATATGCTTCTAAAAATATGCATTTATGACCTAAAAATTCTGAAATATGCACTTTAATATGAAATTGAAATTAATATTTAATTTCCTCTATAATCCCTTTATTGATAAAATTCAGGAGAAGCCTGCTTGGAATGAAAATATATATTTTTGTGCAATCATAATACAATCTGCCTTGCTTCGTGAGAGAAATAATTCACCTTGGTGAAGTACATTGTATGTCTTGTTGTATAACTTCTGACTGGTTAAAATATGTGTTATCAAGAAATATCCTACATTTTCACAAGTATTTTATCAGGTACAGAAAACAAAAAACGGCAAAATGTGACAAGCTCTTTTCAATGAACGTTCACAAATAAGTATATGTAAAATTGTAACGTATTATAGATAAGTCTCTATTTTAACGAAATATGCAAAATATGACCATATAATTAGAGGAATATGCACCAACTGAAAAAATCGGCTAAATATGCACTAACATATTAACCTATGTAGTATCATATTTAAAAAAATGTCAAGAAATTTCACTTGGTTATGCACTGAAGCAACGGACTAAATACGCAAAGTCCTAGAAATCCGCTCGTTAATTATTTTATTCTAACACTTACAAACACAGGAATCACGCATGTAAGCCAAAGCGCGAGAGCTGTACACAACGCAACGGCTTCAAATCTTTCTGCGTCCTGCATGTGATGCCATTAGGCGCGCGGGTTCTGGCAATGCGAGTGTGACATTCCGTAGGAAGGAGCTACGTGACCTATCGCCCTCCGGCTTATCTGGTGCCATTGCCACCGAGTGCAAACGTGTTCACCAAATCTTGTAAACTAACACCTACAACTCAGCGAGGTATTGAGATTTTAAAATGCAATGGAACTACAAGACCCGTGCGTAGGAAGGGTTAAGAGAAATAAGTCCTTTCAATATAAATTCACCGAGCGGTTGCGGACTATGGACTGGTGATCAAGGCCTGATTATTTCTAAACTGGCGAGTGGAACACAAATAATTTCTAATATATCTTGCATATGATTGCATACTATTTGTTGACAGAGGCTCAAAAATTTTGATACGTGTTATTTAAATACAAATTCACCATCGATTTACGGACTGTAGACCGATGATCAAAAAACAGATTTTTTTCTTATCTAGCGAGCAAAACGAAGATTGTTTGTAAAATTGTAAGGCCTACGTCAACAAAGACCACACACCGAGATAGTTAAGGCAGTAGTGCCGTAGCGATCTCAGACCGAAGCACCACGGGTTCGAGTCACGCCTGGGGCGTGGTTGTATTTGTGTTCGTTCTTACACCTCGTATCACCATATCAAGTCATTTTCGCAGTAACTGTGAATGGCGTTATATATCGTTAAATGCAATAAAACGTCGCTAATGAAAAACCTTACATATAACAAAACAACACAATCTTAGGAATAATGTATTACAAATACTCAGGGTTCTGCCCGTTAATTTGAAAACCTCGACACGTGCGGCCTCAGTCCTTTGTATATGGGATGGGATACTACTTTGGGAACATTTTGAGATTAAGTTGGCGAGTTGACTCTTTCTTTTATCTCCCCGTCATCGTTCATTGTACGACTCCGTCTGTTTTTGTCTTTAGTCTTCCATATTCATATTCTTTTTTCTTCGTCTTTCGTCACCGTCATTCGTTTTCGGCTTCAGTCTTCTTACAAGATCATTATTCGTCTTCGTCCACGTCTCGTCATTCGTCTTCGTCATTCGTCTTCGTCATTC